GTTTGGTATTAGATACAGTAGAGCCAAACAATTAATTAAACTGCATCATACAGCTGTTTCGTCCTTCTATGACTCCTCGACGAGGTTGAGGGCCTATATTTTTCAAATCTCAGAGGATACGACTGAGAAAATCCAATCTGACAAACTAAATGGGACAAGCCAGCCAGATAGGTAAACCAGCCAGATAGGTAAACCAGTCAGATAGGTAAACCAGTTACAGAATATATTGTATATGTGTTTATTTACATGTGTCATTGTTGGTTTTCGTAGCTTGACTAATATAAAATTTCTTTCTTGCATATATTTCTGTCAAAACATGGATCTTCTCCAATACTTTTACTTCATTTAATCACAATCATAACCGAATATTTTGAATCTGAAAGTATTCTACTCAGAGTGTCTTGTCGTTAAAAACGAGTCAAATATCGAAAGGTATGCATCACCATCCTTTACGTTTGGACATATCAAAGTATAAATACATTTACATATGTAAAATATAGATGTAATCTTTGGCGATTACGTATTTCAACTTCAAACTGTTATAATTTGATAAAAGATATCAAACGAAATTGTACTAGTGGTTACTTAAAACTTCATCATGATATGCGAACATATCATTAATAAATGAACAACTTGCTCTAGAAATGCTTGTAGTGCTACGAGAAAATTCTGTATTTTTTCAAAAAATATCTGTTTTAGTTTAAATGTAATAAATGAAATATCTTATCAGTATTTGTGTTATGTTATGGTTTATTATAGAAAATATCGACGTATAAGCAATTTAATTTCAAAATCTTTGAAAGGAGGGCATCATAGTAATAAAGTGACAATTCATCACGTGACACGTGAAGGAAAGTAAGAAAATGTGATCTGGAGAGGTAAGTATCTTTTATTGGTTGTTCTAGGACTATCGTTATGAGGCTAAATGTTAATTACCTCAATTTAGTTTAAAGCAGGACGCTGATGTATTTTAAAAACCTAAGAAATAAGAGGAGGGGGAGACGGAGGAGGGGGAGGCGGAGGAGGAGGAGAGAGAAAAGGAGGAGGGCCTTGTGTAAACAGAGGTCATCACTCTTTAAAAAACTCTTTGAAACAACCTGGACATGACAGTTACCATTAACTAAGTAAATGACAAAACATTTCTGTCATTTCGAGCTGACCTGACCAGGATGTGTTCAGCAAATAAAGGATCTATATTCAATGTGGAAAGAGCAATAACATGATATCACATATTGTTTTAGTTAAAGATAAAACATGGGTATTGTGAACTTAGCAGATCGAAAACAAGATACATCTTGGGCCTGTAAAGCTCATCTGGAAACGGTATGATTAAATTTACACTTCAAAACATTTTACTCAAAATTAACTTATGTGATGTTTTAAATTTCTGGCTAAATTTTCCACAAACATCTTTCTTCTAAGCCGAAGAAGAGTACCACGTGGTGGAACAATATATTCCCTTCCAATACCAAAGGAATATATAGAAATGATAAAAATGTCAAAATGTTTAGTGGAAAAACAGTCCTATATGTTTTAATGATAAAATAAAGGATACCAAGTTTAAAGGAGAGGGATGGAAACTAGAAATATTCTCTAGAAAAACCGAAGGAGATATTTGAACAAGATAAAATTGTTAAGAAAAACATAGGGCAATAACTCTTCCCAAAATCGTAAGATCTTAATTTCACAAAGAAAAATGCAGTTTCATGTAATGGTTATAAAGCCTATCAATTTTCAGGGGGGAAAATATATATCAATACAATCAATAAACAAATAAATAAATAAATGAATAAATAAATGAATGATGCTTAATAAACAAAAGGCATGATTATCAAGCATAACAAGTTTAAAAGAAATTGCTTGAAAACTGAGCGAGATGATCTTCGGACATAAGATTAACATTGTGAAAACAACAAGGGGCAGTGACTATTTCATACATCATCAAATCACACTGATCTTCAGGAAAACAACCTCATATCAAGGTGATTAAGCCGAAATATTGGATAAACTATAGACAAGTCTGGTCAAACTACCTTCATATCAACATTATTCACTTCAGATCAAACTTGGACAAATTCCTGTTATTCCTGAAGAGGAATTTCAAAGAATTCGCTATTAATCCACTTATGGACCTCAGCGCTCAGGCCAAGGAGCTGGAGACCAATGATTTATACTAAATTGATTCCCCTTCTCCCAGGGATGTGTCTGACTAAACGTGGTCAAAATGTGTTAATCCCACCAGAAGAAAGATATTAAACTAATTGCTCTATTTTCCTTATTGGGCCCAATACCTCAGCCATATCTTTGAATATTACTAGTCCAACAGAAGTGATAATCATTGCTTAGTTCAGGCAGGAAGTTGTTTTACAGTACTTTAAACCTAATCATTTTACCCCAACCCTCAGCTCTCTTCGAGATCAACCCCTCCACTTGTCCAAGATTCCAACCAAACATCGAGTACTTAGTTAAAGAGAAACTGCGTAAAGCACTAAAAGGAAGGGTTGTGGGTGTCTGCCTCATCATATTTACAATTTTGAAATTCTTAATAAAAATCAGCTAGTCCAATGATATCCATTCCTTAGTTCCAGAGAAGTCGCTTAAACCAACAGTGATAAATCTCCCCACGAGACCCGGTGGACATACTTTTCTGACTTGCCCCAATAAAATTCAACATGCTATATATAAAAAAATGCAAAATTTTTAAATGTAGATAAATCACAGACACCAAAATAACCAAATGAGCCTTTTTGACCCCTCCTGGGAAATCAGCCCCTTTGAATCTCAACACCCTTTATAAACTGTCAACCAAATGTGAGTGACATCCAGTGAATAGTTCCACAGAGGAATTTGTTTTAGAAATAGAATCAATTTTTATGTTGAAGCAGTGACACTGAGGGTCAGTTTTAAATTCCCACCATTAATGTCTGCTTCCAGTCAAACTAAATTATATTCCAATCAGTGGTTAAGAAGAAAATGTTGTTTGAATACATTATAGATATACTGACAGATGCTATGATAAGGTACATGCTCATATTAATCCTTCAGACAAGATGACATACTTTGATATGCTGTAAAATCATGGAATTTTCAAGCTTAATCAAAGAATTCATAGGTGAATCAATACAGCAGAACTGACATGGCGTTTTAGTAGAATTTGTGTCAGGTGATTTCATATGGTAATCCACGAAATAATATTTATTAACCGAGAGGCCCGGTGACGGTGCATCACTTTTCTGATATCTGATGTTTTTCCCAAATAGATCAAAATTTCAAATCCTTAAAATTCAAAGTCTTTGAAATCAAGCAAGCACTTGTTTGAATGTTTCAACAAACTAGACCACTGTGACCTTGAATATGGCTCAAGGTCATTACTTTAGACCATCTTTGACAGGATTCATCCAGGGAAACTAACAAAATATGATTTCATATTACACCAAAACACTTGGCTAAAGAGTCTATGTTGGTATCATAACATTAACAGTTTACAATGATTGTAAGTGTGTCAATTACACTACAGCTTAAATAGAAGACATCATTTGGTTCATAAAGACATTTTCTGCAAACTTGAAATTATTCTTTATACATGTACTTCACAAATGTCATTACTCCAGACATATTCCTTGTCGAATAAAGATGATACAGGCCAACTATCAAGATTCTTGGCCTTTTGGTTATTGAGAATAAGTTGCTTATGCATTTCAACATATTTCACCCCTGTGACGCTGAAAGTGGATCAAGGTCACTCATATCTACAAACTTTATAGTACTTCGTCCCATCATACTACAGGACCTTTATCAGTACCCTGGGCTTTTTTGGTTATTGAAAAGATCGTTTAAAGTTTTAAACATATTTTACCCCTTTGACCTTGAAAGTGGGTTAAGGTTTTTAATAAACCTGGTAGTCCTTCATCCTAGCTTGCTAAAGGCCCAATATCAGTACCATGGACCTTTTGGTTACTTTAAAAAGATTTCAACATATTTGAAACCTTTGAAATGGAAAGTAGGTCACTGTCATTCATATTTACATATTTTGTAGCCCTTCTTCCTATCATGCCATAGGCCTAATATCAGTATCCTTTGTATTTTCATTATTGAGAAGAAAAAGTCATTTAAACATTCTAATATATTTGACCCCTGTGACATAGAAATCAAGTCAAGGTCACTCATATTGACAAATATGGAAGCCCTAATTCCAATCATGTTACAGGCCTAATATCAGTACTCTGGGCATTTTGGTTATTGAGAAGATGTCATATAAAGATTAAAACCTATTTGACTTCTGTGACCTTGAAAGCGACTCAAGGTCATTTATATTAACAAACTTGGTAGCCCTAACTCCAAGCATGTTACAGGCTTAAATATCAGCATTCTGGGCCTATTGGTTGTCAAATTGTTTAAACAGTTTAACATATTTGACCCCTGTGACCTCAAAATAGATCAAAGTCATTCATGTTTACATACTTGGTAGCCCTTCATCCTAGCATGCTAGAGGCTAACTATCAGTACAATGGACCTTTTGGTTATTGAGAAGAATTTGTTTAAACATTCCAATGTATTTAACCCCTGTGACTTAAGCCCTAATATCATTACCTGGGCCTTTTTGTTATTGAAAAGAAGTTGTTTGAAGATTCAAATATACTAGACCCCTTTGACCTTGAAAGCGACTCAAGGTCATTTATATGCACAACCTTGGTTACCCTTCATCTCATTATGCTACAGGCCCAATATCAGCATCCTGGGTCATTTGGTTATTGATGAGAAGTCATTTGAATGGAAAGTTTACACACAATACACAATGACGGATGAAACATGATGGTTATAGATCATTCTGACCTTCAGGTCATGTGACCTAATAATAAAACTGAAACAGCAAGTCAAATAATTTGTGAAAAATGAGGAATGTCAGAAAATATTCTTTGAAATTTTAGGAAAACATTTTTTCGTGTAAAAATAATTAAAAACAATCCATTTAATTTCATTAAAAAATCATTTATTCTGCAAAACAAAATCTTTCAAATACTTAACATAAGAAATATCACATTTACTCTTATTCATACATTACATCCACACACAATCCAAGTAATAGGACTAAAATTCTGTACAAAATGAAACAAATATCAACTCATGCTTTCTAGCCTTTTTTTCTCAGATATCCTGATGGCTAAAAGAAATGTAACCTTTTGTGTGAAGGTAATTACATGAAGTGGATAAATAATTAGAATGTTTTAAAAATTCGCAATAATCAGACGTTTTCAAGAAAATATTTGGTATGATACCCTAATCTGTCAATACAATAATGGAAAATTTGACAGGGTTGATAATGTTACCAATTTGGAAAAAAGGTTTTCTTAGCAACCAGTGAAATCTTAGTAACTAATATTTTCATGGGTGTCGTATTCAGTAACCAATACCCTGATGAATAAATTAGATAGGATTGTAACAATATCTTTATAATGAAAACGATTAAAAGTGAAATAATTCTGTAAAAAGATATGCAATTTTGCAAAACACTTTTTCTCATCGAAAATGAACAGAATAACTATGTTGTTTGATCAAGTGAACACTTAAACTGATTTCAGCGCTTCATCTCCAATTTTAAAGACATATTCACGCAACTCTGTTGAGATTTTAAAACCAACCACTTCATTCAGTTAAATCCCATGTCCAGTAAACTCCTAGCATATCTATAGTTGTAAATAGGTGAGAAGGCTACAATCCTAGGTTTTGGCCTTGCATCACATATGTCTCATGTAATAGTCTATTACAGTTGAGAAGGCTGCAAACCCAAGAGATCCTATCACACCAGCTTTGAGTCCAGCTGAAACACAGAGAAGTCAGGGGTAAGTCTATATCCATACAAACAAGTGTAGCCTAGTCTAGTACTAGACTAGAGCACCAGGGTGGAAGTACTTGATATATTTAGGTTGCTGACCATGGTTTATCACCACCTCAACAGTCAAGGGCATTTTGAGGAGGGTACCCTTTGTAGCAGCTGGTGACTACCTAACTGAACAACATACAGAAGGGTTATTGCATGCCATTCAGAGCAACTGAGGTTAAGTAGCCTGCCCAAGAACTTTACCATGACAGCACAAACTTGTATATGTCCCAGCTTCTTGAGACACAACCCTCAAAGGTAGGGAATCTTGAACCACTAACCTCAGATCTGCACCTTAAGCTACGTAGGTCAATGCCCTTGAGACCAAGCTATTAGGGCCCCTAACAGAATATTAGACTACCTAATAAGACAATAGAATAGACATATCACATAGTGTTCTGTTCATTAATATGTACAGGGACATAATACATCGTGATATTCATTTCTTTTCAACTCTCCATGATAATTTCAATTTCTGGGTGAATAATGGATGGATGACAATGCCTTTTGATAGCCTGCTACAATCTATATCTAAAAACATGCAGGTATTACATAAAACAGAGGTTAAGCTATACACCCTGAATTATCTCAAAACGTAATTGGAGAGAAAAAATCTGTGATAATCTGTCTCCTCCCACTCCCTCTTGGGACACATATATGCAAGAAATTATTTTCTTATATATCATTATGTTGTATTAAAGCTCTGAAAATTCAGTGGTTATCTCCCTTGTATAACATTTCATTAGTCCACCATATTAGAAATTCATAACCCAATTGTCTAAATTTTGAAAACAACATTTCAGGCATAAATAGTGATGGATCTACACATTCTTATTACTGCAGGGTTTGAAAATCTTTGTCGAGGCCAGCCAGAAAACATAAAATCATTAGACCTTTCTTTATTTTGTAAATGAACAAATTTGGTTTAACTAGGTAAGTGGCTTTGACCAAGATAAAGAAAAGCAGCCCCTGTGATCTCCCTAACACCTTACCTCTAATGCCAAGTACCCCACCAACAATTCCTCCAGACACTGTACCATTGATAAGTTCAGTCTTCCCTCGGTACTGTGTAGACAAAATAGCAGAAATATAATTCATGATAGGAAACAGTAACAGTTTTCATTTGGTATGTGTATTATTAAATGTCAATGTTGAATAATCAATCAAATTTGGGACATGTGACATACTGTGAAATTACTAACAATAAATAGACTCATCAGCCATTCTATTTAACGAAATAAAAGATAAAAATATCATTTCGAAGTTTTATAATCTCTTTCCACAGCAATGATATGAGATTATATGTTAAGACAAATAACTTGCGTCCAGATTGGCATCTTCGATACTCCAAGGGTTACAATCTGTTTTGCTCTTTACACCCTAGGAACATGTTGTGACAAAACTAAAGGCACCAGCAAGTACATGTGATTTAATTGGATGCAGGAGAAAAAATCTTACCAATTATAAACTGATACGCTCCTTTAGAAGATTACAGAGAAGTGACACCCAACTTAAAAGCCATTACAACATACCATCATGCAACCTCAAGATTTGTTTGATGTACATCAAAGGATCAAACTAATTTTTTGTCTTGTCCACAGGGTGTTGCACATTGAACCTTCAATTTTGCCATGACATGTTCCAGGGGTGCAGAGAGCAAATATGATTGAAACCCCTGGAGTATCGAGGATACCAGATTGGTTTTTTAGAATGCCACTTGGGATCAACAAAATGATGGTTTTAATAGTTTCTAATGTTCAAGCATGCAGACAGGTGAGAGAGATCTTTATAAGTAATGAGTACAGCATAATTTTCTCAAAGAGTAATTCTATAAATCTATTTAACAAACCAAATCACTAATCTAAATGATTTTCCTCATGAATCATTCTGTTGTGTAATGGAAAAATAGACGGACTTTGATTATATCTTTAATTATCTTCAAAAACATCAGCTTTGACTTAGATTAGTTTCTGAAATCTGGAGCCAATAAGGAGACAGAATATACATTGATTTTGATGCTAATTTTGAAGTTAAAATATTCATGGGTAAATTCACACCTAAGAGATATCTGTCACCAGAAGTATGGATATTTCTGTCCAGTGGTGCAGAATAAATGTTTATTTGTATGTCACTTAAATCACAATTAGGAACATTTTGTTTACACAGGTGCCCCCTAAAGCAATTCCTTGTTAAACTTTATACTGTCTCCTCATGTTTTGGTATTTAGGTAAAGGGTATTGGAGTATGGAGTAAAGAAAGGGGGAGGGGACGTCATGTTTTGAAGAAAGGGAGATAAGCTTGGTGTAACAAAACCTAATTCTGGTATTATTTATACTTATATGTGTACAAGATAAGAACTTTTTTTAATTCCCAAATGGACATTGAACCTCAAATAGACGGTCCATTTTGAGAATCAAAAAAGAATCATATCTTGTTTTTTTTTTCTGTCTCTAGTAATAACACAGAGAAAACACTATATATCTAAACAAAGTGAAACTTACAGATTCAATTAGACATTCTGTAGTAGCAAACATAGCTCCAACAACTGCAAAGTTTTTTCCGTAGCTCCAGGACCGTGCTTTCATCTCCTGTAACACCATCCTTGTGGTTGGTGTTTCCGTGGACATGGTTGACATTGGATCAATTGATGCAGTGAACAAACCAAAAACTCCTCCTAGTGCAAACCCTGGAACATGAATGTGCAAAGAACTGTACATACAAACTGCCAAATATGGATTAAACACTTGTTTAGTTGACAATCCTCTTCATAAGTTTTAAATAATACATAAAAAAAAATAAATTGTAATTTCAACCATAATGGAAGCTTATACAACAATGATTTTGAAAGTCAGATGTTTAATTTCCGAATTCAAAATTTCTCTGTGAGACTCATCAAAACCTTCAATATTTGCTAACTCTCTAAATAACATAAATTGTAAAGGAATTCACAATCCCTGCATAAAAAAAAAAAACAAATAAAAAATCACAGCAAACTATGTGTGTACTCTTACCAGGTACAGATAAAAAAAATTAATATATATTTTTTTTGGTTTCTTTCTACATCTCTGACTTTGCTACTCTTGCTACACTATAAGTTTGCATTTGTGTAGCATAAGAAATTCATAACATGCCTTTTTTAGATGGTCCTATTCAAATAAGTGCAAAAATGAAAAAAAAATTGTAATTCTAGATTTTTAAAAAACCCTGTTTTTACTTGATAGCTTCCAAACTTAGAAATAAACTGAGGTTTTGCAACTTATGATTCAACAAGATTGGAAAATGATTGATTCACAGACCAGTTAATGATTTCAAATGTTGTTAATGGACAAACAGATCATCAGGAGCAACCATTAACTGAAAGGTTCTCATAAAAAATATACCTCAATAAACAGCTAGCTTTTATCAAATTGTTTGTCTCTGTCTGGTTTGTGCATTTGATTTAAATTGCTTGTGTGTTGTACATGATTTTTTTTGTTTTTGTTTTTTTTTTACAAAATTTTAGAATAATTTGGAGCCTTCAATTCCACAAAATTCAGTTTATTGAGTCATTTTTTAAATATTTTTTTATTTGAGTCCAGAAAACCAATTCTAAAATATTGAAGGGTCCCAATATAATACTAAGGAATATAGTGGGGTCTCAAAATCGAGGTGAGTACTCTGGCGTCCAGGAAAGTCCTGACTCAAATGTCCGGGTCCCAAAAATCACTTTGGTTATCTAAGCCCATAAGAACAAAATGCTTATCAGTTCATTTACAATCAATTGCAATTGTTTTCAAAATGAAGAACAGTCAAACACATCTTTCTACAGGTGTGCATTTACAAGGAAACATAAGACAAGATAGATTCCAGTGAATGTATGTCTAAGAAGTTGGTGCTTGTACTTATAGCTAGATACTTCATTTCCTGTGAAAAAGGGGAAAGAATATTTTAAAACATTATTTGCTAACTAATGATACACTGTTCAAGGCTGATCTTTATGCATTGTGAACACCTCTATCTTTCCCAGAATTATCTGATTTACATGTAATTATCATATATTTTTATTCTGTCTTATGATCAGTCTGCACAATAAGATTATATCTCCATTCCATTTGCTCACTTTGGGACTTCCCGTTGTCACTACTGAACATACATAGTCAATGTATCACACATGATCTAACATATATATGTTATACAAGACCTTATATGGGTCTAAGATCTGTGAGAAATAATTGTGACTGCAGTGAGTGCTTGCAGTTAGACACTGCCCCACGTGGTAAAATTCATGACAGTTGACAGAAGAAATTGTAATTAGCTATAGATATGTATTTTTTTTAATTCAATAGTTTCTCCCGACAGGATCTGGAACTAGCAACAGATATCTCTCTTACCCATGACTCCACTAGCACAAAACTTGAAGCTGCAACTTTCGAAGAACTTGGAGATCATGACCTCTTGTTTGTGCATCGGAAACCTGGGTATTCCATCAATAACAAGTGGAGCTTGATATTTTCGATTTCCATTCTTTTCTCCTAACACTTCATTCACAACATTTGTAAAATTTATCACTGTTAAGTCAGTAATTGTCCCGTCTTTACTAGGGTCATGCGGCCGTGTGGGCGCGGCCATTTTGAATGGTTCTAATATACAAAACAAGCTATAATTATTTATCCGGAATAGTCAACGTAAGTGTTAACAAAACTTGATATATTTATACACGGTATGTTGTACACACTATCGCTTTCTGTATCATTGAAACATTTCATGGCAAAATTAAATGTTTCATGTGCGTTACCTTTCGAGTTTGGCAACAAATGTTCCTTAACCCCTTGAGTGTTACGAATGAATGTAAAGCACAAAGATACTTCTCATTTTCGGTGATTGTTTTTTGTGTGAACGAAATCATAACCTATTAAAATAACACCTACATGTATGGATATCTGGAAATCCCTACAGGAAATCCAAGTAGCCGTTCATAATTTTTTTTTGTTTTGCTTCATATGCACATCTTGTTTCACTGAATATCCTGATGTCCGTGAAAAGTACACTTGAACTATAAGGAATACCGAACGGTCTGATTTCCTGGTCTCGTTTCTATAAAACCATGGACTGTTTAAACAACTCGGAATTACTACCTCCTTATATCTAATAAGGGGTTCCTTCAACAATCGATATTTTCGATTATACTTCTCTAAATCGTTGATGTTGTTCCATTTCGTGGTAAATATCAAATTGTTCAGGTACGTCGAGATGTCGTTCTAGATGTCACTCCTGAACAGTGTAGAGATCACAGAGTTGTCACATAATGCACAGAGTCATTTCCAGAAATCTCAGAAATTCAGGAGTTGAAAGTTATATATAAATACCTAAAAACTTTTCATAAACCCCGAGGCCTGACTCAGCTGACCATCAGTATTTATAGAACGAGCGATGTTGATGTATTTGCATAGGGTGTTCCAGAAATGCTGATACACTTTGCATATATGTAAACTATATTCTGTTCCAATATTTTAAGCAATGGGTGCACAGACACACAGAAAACAAGAGGTCCGATGGGCCTGCAACGCTCACCTGGTATCTGTAAACCAGCCAAAATCATGGGTCTATGCCTTTTAGTTCATAAGAAGAAGCCATTTTGATGTATTTAAAAAAAAAAGATATATATATATATATCCCTGTGACCTTGAACAAAGGTTAAGGTCATCTGTTTTTCCCAATTTTGTTGGGCTTCATCCTTGGAACGTACCAGCCAAATATCATGCCTCTAGGCCTTATAGATCATGAGAAGAAATCTTTAAAGGTTTTAACAAATCTGACCCTTATGGCCTGGAATATAAGTCAAGGTTATTTCTTTTTACAAACTTTGCCGGGCTTCAGCAAAGGAACATCCTAGCCAAATATCATGCCTCTACGCCTTTTAGTTCATGAGAAGAAGTCATTTAAAGGTTTTAAAAAAATTGACTCCTGTGACCTTGAATATAAGCAAAAGTTATTTCTTTTTGCAAACTTTGTCAAAGCTTCCTCCAAAGAACATACTGGTACACGCCATATAATCAAAACATTTGGTCCATTGGTTATTGAAAAGAAGTTACTTAAAGGAAACAAATGACGTCAGATAATGGATGGACCATGGACAGACAAGAGATGCGGAGCCAAGGCACAAGCTCACTTGGCCCTTTTGGCGAGGTGAGCTAAAGATTGATTACCGTTTATTTCCATCTTAAATTACAGGCATGTAACACCAAAAGTGAGAAAATGTTTGTCCAATGCAGCTGAAACTGAAGGAGATAATTATGTCTGCAAGTAAATTATAAAACAAAACTGAACTACATACATTAGTTTATTCCAATTCAAAGCCATTAAAATCAGTACAACAGACAAACTGACCATTACACATTCCTTTAACCTGATCTCTGATATCACAAAACACATCAAAATTCTATATCTGTTCAATCTGTACAATGATCACATGTAATTCAATTTTTTTCATCAAGTTCTCATACCCACAAACATATATGTACTAACACATAATTTTAGAGTAAAAGTTTCTTTTACTTTTTAATGAAAGCATAAAATTGAGGATGAATTATATTCTAGTGTTTAACCTCTGTTTCAAAACATCATGAACATCAAAAACATTTTTGGGAAATTTACGCCTTGATACCTATACAATTGTAACAGGACAAATTCTGGTGATAGAGAGATAGAAATTCTTGGCTTTTTTTTCCTAGCGAGCATCCATGGGTACATAGATGTTTAGATCTACACAGCTAAAGTCTAGAAACAGGAAGATTAAACCCTGTGGAAATATAGTAAGTTTCTTAATAAACCCTATTACAACTCAAACCACTGCTACAAATTCTTTCTGTGTTCAAATCTCTCATATGTTAAGAGTTAAATACAGAAAAAAGTCTCTCACCACCTGTCCCTTCCCCTTTACATCAATTTCCTATATATATGATTACTGCATCCAAAAATAAACAGTATCTTTATTACTGAAACAGTTACATATGCTTATTTTGTCATGTTGTGTCATGTCATGTCATATATCATAATTCTATCATATATGTAATTTTTGTCTTATTTCAAAATGTTGATCTCTGAGTATAAGTTTGTTATAAAACATTTATTTAGTTACCATATTTTAAAGGACTATATTATCTTTCTGAAAGTGTCTATTTTAATTCTAAAGGCTTTCTTACTGATTAAATGTCTTTCTTAACCCAGAAACCTGAAATCGAAACAGCTATGCTTCATGAAAAAGATGAGATTTTAAGCTATTGTGTCCTAGAAGGAGAAATCAGCTGTATGATGCAATTAAATTCATCATTTGGGCTACTGTATCTTATTTGAAATTAGTACTAATTGGATGTCTTTTGTCAATTTTTGTAACCAACACACGTCTCTTTTCTGTCTGAGATATAAAATAATGTCTCCAAGTCAACATCTGTTATAGAAACATTTTGTAGCAATTATAAAGTTAAGGATTAATATAACACACAAACATAATCCTGACTTATGTTGTATTATCTTCATAAAAAATAAACAATCTTTGATATTTATCAAGACATCAGGAAGCAAAATAGAAGGTTGCCTAGTATATCTCAACTAATTTCTCTTTTTTTCCCCCGCACAAACAAACAATTTCACTTGACTAGAAAACATTATTCTAGTTTTCAAGGATAATTCAAGAACAAAATGGATGCTTTAAAGTGTATTCTGTGTAATTAGTAGAAAGGTACTCATTTGATAAATTTTAATTGTCAAAGGACTTAAGACTTAACAATGTTTTAGCTAGCAGAGAGAGAGAGAGGGAGAGAGGGAGAGGGGAGAGAGAGAGAGAGAGAGAGAGGGGGGAGAGAAGAGTGGGGGAGAGAGAGAGAGGGAGAAAGGGAGAGAGAAGAGAGAGAGAGAAGAGAGAGAGGGAGATCAAATGCAGACCACACCAAAAAAACTCAACCTTTTCTTATTAAGAATTTTTTTCAAGGAGTCAAAGTTTCAAGAAGAAGGAGTAAGATTTATATAAAATACACAAGCTGCCCCTGAAAGTATACATGATATTACTAAAGCCAGTACATGTCTATCTACATGGTGTCGGTGACCTGACTCTATGCACCATATTGAACTTATGCAGTGGTCAATTCTGTGCAGCAACTCTACAGTACATTATGACACATGAAAATTAACCAGGTCTGGTGGGTGATACAAGATGTTTTGGACGTTGGGAGTGGAATTACATGTTGTACAGTGAAGTTTAGATGTATTTATAAGTATATAAACAAAACCATGTGATAACTACGACAAACTTGAATGTTGGTACAATACGTACATTACAATGTATATACAAGTCTGCTGAACAATCATCATTATTAAAGTATATATAAATGACAAGTTATCCAAAACTTTCAGGCAAAATACAATCCCACATATTTTATTACCGTAAACAGATAAACATTGACACAGGAAATTAATGTGTAGGTACGCAAGAGCACTATATTCCTGTGTCTGTATTTATACACAAGATATTGTATCATGACAAACATACAATAATGATTTTATGTGTAAGACAACGAATGAAAATAAGCAAGGAAAAACAATATATCAAAGTTTAGCAATAAGCAGTTTATGTGCAAGCAAAGTTTGAATCAATTGTAGCACTATCATTTAACGTCCACTGATAAACAAAAGCAATTCTTGTAAAAGGAGTTGACTAGCTGTAACATAGGCTCTGTAGCTTAGATATTACAGACCCATGTTTTATAGAAATGTTTGACAACTATAGCGAAAGCCCTTATCACAGTTGAAATACAGTATTATCACACTAGTACAGGAGAATCCTGAAAAACAAAATTGTGTTTCAATACCACTCATTTGAAAATCCCATAACAGTCATACAACAACGATGGACTCTTTATAGTTTTCATTTGTAAAAACATTCTCATCAGGATAGGAAAGAACTATTTTCATATCCTTTACAACTGGAGCCAAGTGCTTTTGTTTAAATCCTTTTCAATACATTCTTTTTTTGTACATGCAACAAGGAAATCTTGCACCCATGCTCATGTATACCAACATTTTAGTCTGTTGAACCATTTACCCAAAAGTTAATTGTAATGAGATTTTGTTTAAGGAATTCAGCACTTAATTTTGGTCACAAGCTTAGATCCATAATTCTTAAAAACAAAACAAAGAAAGATTTATAATAATTTTCTTTTTCCAAATTTAGTATTTTTAAAATCAGCCATATCAGACATTATTAAGGTTATTAACATGTTCATGGTTATGAAATACAAATAAAACATTTTTTGAGTACTAAATCAATTCTTCAAAAAACTTGATCATGATTAAAATGCATAAGCTGCATTTCAACAAACTTCTCATTTATTCTTCCATGAACTGTATTGAATTATATGTTGGAGATGTCCTCACAATGCTGAGTTTAGAGGTGCAGTTTGATGATAAAAGCAATGAGGCATTTTCTTGCATCATCAACTATCCTGTTGTTTAAATATTGGTAATCTCTGTTGCTGTTCAACATTGCCCCAATAAGATATAACCTCACATTACCTGGTACATGTACCTTACATAAAAACATTTACCCTTTATGTATAATTATTAGCCTTTCAAAATTCACAATGACATCCCACAAAAAAAATTTCAAATACTTCATACAGAAATTCCCACAAAGAAACATGACAATCTATGAACTGTCAAAGCTAATTGTCTCAAAGTCAATGGTTTCGTGGTGAGATTTGGAGTTTTCAAAGTACTCGATTCAAGTGAGTTAGAACGTCATTTATAATTGGGTTGAGGTTGATGCAATACTTCAAGTTAACAAAGGTCTGCAAGTTATTTCAGTTTGAGATAACAGGGTTTGACTGTATGTAACATGTACTTTCTACATATGCATGCTTTTCTCTGTTAAAAGATTTAATGAGATGTAAATTGAAATATCTGTAAATGTTTAAAAATTGCTTTTATGAAATTTTTCTCTTTAGTAAAAACAGTTCAATACCTTTTAACTCCAAATGCGCATAAATCTTTACGAAAACATGTTCAAACAACACTGAAAAGCTTTTGACTTGGTTAGCATGATAATATGACTTTAGCTGTTGTCTGTCAAATGACATACATTTATTTTGTAAAATACTGAATTCATATGATATAAAACTTCAGCATTCCTTGTAAATTTGCTGAATATCTTCTTCTTAAAAAAAAAAAAAAGAAGTTATTTTCCAGGAACAGGTGATTGTATCCTGTATAACAATACTCACAACATTATATTATTAACATCAAGAAACAGCTCATGGGATGTAGATCTGATATGTATTTTGATTTTTTGAGGTTAAATACAGCAAAGCAGCTTACTGAAACCATTTGGACTCAAATTAAAACATTTACATGTGCCAATAAATCTTAGTATAGATTAGTGAAATCTTATCGGAACTAATATTTGGTACGAATCAAATCAAAATCCCTTATGGAGCTGTAGGGGACTGTACATCTGTATTGATGGGTACAATACCCCCTCATCACAAAAGGTATTTTCATCAAACATTTGGCAGTTGCAAAGGAAGAGTTTGAGAGACATGTACTGGGAGGCAAATAGACTGACACTGTTGCAGACCGATAGAGGAAATGATGGCAAACCTATTCATTCCTCCAATATTACCATCTGGGATTAACATTGGAGATAAACAACGATTTGTGTTTATCTTTCAATATTTGAAATACATTGTTAATTTAATATTAGTTTGTTTCAATATTCAACAATTAAGATTATAAAAATCAACATTTGAAATACATTGTAAATTTAACATTCAATTTAATTTGTTTTAATATATAAAAATTGAAATTATGAAAATTATTATTTGAAATGCACTCTAATTTTAACATCACGTTAATTTTCAACAACTGACATTTTGAATATAGATATTTGATATATAATGTGAATCTAACATTACAGTTTGTGTTAGTATTTACAAAGGAACATTTTGAATATTGAAGCAAATATGATAACTAATAATGAGAAAACAGGATATGTTTAAGACTGAGTACATTCTGGTTAAATTAATGAGTACATTCTGTTGAAATTCAATGCTGAACATCAGTATATCACAATAAAGATAAAAACAAATAAGGAAATTAAATGAACTATCTGATGTCACCTTGTGAGGCTCCCTAAACACAAAAAGTTCATGTTGGGATAATATTTTTTACAGGAAGAGTCACAAAGCATTTTGTAAAATCACTCAACAAGAAGACTGAAAACAAAACTTTGTTTCAATGAGACCAAAATAATCTTACACAGATCAATAATTTTTGGCCTGGATGTTTTCTAGTAGAGTTTGTTCAACTGTCAGGTGTGCTTTTTAAGGCTCCTAAGTATCCTGAGTTTCCATGACTACAATATTGTACCATACATGGAATGCATGTGAACATTTAAAATATCAACTGAGACAGAATAACAATGTCTTACAAACATGGGTGGTAAATTTTTTCTTCTATAATTAATAGCAAATGTTTTTGTATGGACCCTTTGGTAAAATATAAATGGCCCCAGTTCAATTCTGATCCTAACAATATCAGCAGCCACTGGCCATCCCCTGTGGTAAAATCATAGCGGTAACTTACATCCAGATTCACTACAGACACATTTACAAAACATCACAAAAATAGCACATACTGAGTATAAACTTAGATCTTGATTTGACTTGTAACAAGTCATTGCACAATTTCTATCGTTTCTTTGATTTTCTTTTATCAAATTTCATTTAATTAAATTTTAGAATAAAAAAATTTTTTTTGAACAATCTCTGTGAAAATCTTATTATAACTTGACTGGAAACTTTTCGTAGATAAGCTGCATTAGTGTTCTGTTTTAAACAAAATGATCTTTGCAAAATAAAGATGTTTATATTAACAGGCTTACAGCCATTATGCAAACACTACTGTATTAAGTATTGAGATGCCACTTGCTATAAATCTATAAAAGCAGCATTATCTTTGACCACTCTTTGTCTGTAGAGTCACATGACTAAAATTTAAAGTTTTGATTCTAAATGAATTTTCACGTTACAGCAACTTAAGATGTTGATAACATCCATTTGTCCATAAACTTTGATATTGATACGTTGTTAATGCTTCATGTATCGCCGTCATAACACTTTCTCATACGGCTGGAGTACCACAATCTGTAACAAGACAGAATCAAATCATACAATCTGTAACTAGACAGAATTAGATAACACAATCATCATAACACTTTCTCATATGGCTGGAGTACCACAATCTGTAACTAGACAAAATTAGATAACACAATCGTCATAACACTTTCTCATACGGCTGGAGTACCACAATCTGTAACTAGACAGAATTAGATAACACAATCGTCATAACAAGGGACATGAACTGAAATTTCCTTAAAATTGAACAATGCCACAATGGAAATAATTCTGATAACAGTAAGATATTTTTTAACAAAGTGATCATATTGGCCAGGACATTTCCAGATCAGGAGATTACAGATAGATTACTGAAATATCAATCTAGCATATGATAATCTTAATTAGTTACAATCTTATACAAAAATGGAAGGGTTTTTCTGGCCTACCTTATCTTTGAGCTGCTGGCACTGTTGGAGGGCAAGAGTAAACAACATCACTGCTTCATTTAGCCACTGTATAGTACATTCAACCTGAAATATTTCATTTTACCATTGCAGAAGTCAGAAATGTTAGAAAGTTCCCTGACAAAAATACCATTACAGAGGTCAGTAATGTTAGAACGTTCCCTGACAAAAATACCATTACAGAGGTCAGTAATGTTAGAACGTTCCCTGACAAAAATACCATTACAGAGGTACGAAATGTTAGAACGTTCCCTGACAAAAATACCATTACAGAGGTCAGTAATGTTAGAAGGTCAGTAATGTTCCCTGACAAAAATACCATTACAGAGGTCAGAAATGTTAGAACGTTCCCTGACAAAAATACCATTACAGAGGTCAGTAATGTTAGAACGTTCCCTGACAAAAATACCATTACAGAGGTCAGTAATGTTAGAACGTTCCCTGACAAAAATACCATCACAGAGGTCAGAAATGTTAGAATGTTCCCTGACAAAAATACCATTACAGAGGTCAGTAATGTTAGAACGTTCCCTGACAAAAATACCATTACAGAGGTCAGTAATGTTAGAACGTTCCCTGACAAAAATACCATTACAGAGGTCAGTAATGTTAGAACGTTCCCTGACAAAAATACCATTACAGAGGTACGAAATGTTAGAACGTTCCCTGACAAAAATACCATTACAGAGGTCAGTAATGTTAGAACGTTCCCTGACAAAAATACCATTACAGAGGTCAGTAATGTTAGAACGTTCCCTGACAAAAATACCATTACAGAGGTCAGTAATGTTAGAACGTTCCCTACCATTACAGACAAAAATACCATTACAGAGGTCAGTAATGTTAGAACGTTCCCTGACAAAAATACCATTACAGAGGTCAGTAAAAATGTTAATGTTAACGTTCCCTGACAAAAATACCATTACAGAGGTCAGTAATGTTAGAACGTTCCCTGACAAAAATACCATTACAGAGGTCAGTAATGTTAGAACGTTCCCTGACAAAAATACCATTACAGAGGTCAGTAATGTTAGAACGTTCCCTGACAAAAATACCATTACAGAGGTCAGTAATGTTAGAACGTTCCCTGACAAAAATACCATTACAGAGGTCAGTAATGTTAGAACGTTCCCTGACAAAAATACCATTACAGAGGTCAGAAATGTTAGAACGTTCCCTGACAAAAATACCATTACAGAGGTCAGTAATGTTAGAACGTTCCCTGACAAAAATACCATTACAGAGGTCAGTAATGTTAGACAAAAAAAACTATCACAATGAACTTGACATCAATGATAACAACCCAGACAGAGAAATAACTGCTTTTTTCTCCCACACTTTCAATACTCAATGTACTTTTCCAAACTCAATACATTGGAAGTTGTTGTCAAGAAATACATCACACCACCATAAAATATCCGTAGAATATTTGGTCCTATTGTTCACTTGGTTAGGCCACATAAAGTGATGATGTGACTTTATTTGATTTGTCTTTCCCCAATAAAGGTATTTATTTTGACCTAGCAAACATGGATATGCACCTGTGAAGTGTGGGAGTTAGTTTTACCTTAATACATTAAATAAGAGGACAATTTCTATGTGAACTATCTACCTGTCAGAACTTTTCCCTCATACCTTCAAGTTCAAAGAATATGGTAAACTTTCAGTGAATTTGAAGAGGCGGGTCCTTGGAACATGTGATTTTTTCAATGAAAACAAGAATTTTCTGTCTAGTGATAGTTAAAACCCTTCAAATGGTTTGAACATGTTGCAAGAGTGCTTGTCTTTACTAAATATAAAGACATTGGCTTCATAATAATCACTCCATATGGTCACTATTCAGATTGATGTTAAACACTGTGGAATGCAGGCTGTAAATGACCATCGGAAGCCATTGATAGCGTTACATTATACACATACATGTCACTTAGCAATGATGTAGTGTGATTTCTTTTGCATCTTGCCGTAACATTTCGCACTTGCCAGCTGACACAAGTAAGGCCCCAATTCTGTATTACAAACTAAGTGATTGGCAAATATATACAGACCATGGGAAATTGACATGTGTTTTGTCTAAGAACTGTCATCTAAGTCTCAATCCACACTCCACATACTTTCTGATATGTCGACGCTAATTTCCGTCAAAACACAAGCAGAAATGTGCTTATTATGAGCAGGTTTCTTGTCACAGTACCCAAAGTTATGAAGATCAAAATGAAACCTGTGATTTCTTGACATGTATTGCAGTACAGGAAGTGTTTCAAAAAATAACAAGAGGCCCATGGGCCTTAACGGTCATCTGACAAAAAGCAAGCCAAACCTAGAAAGTGGGTTGAGGTCATTCATTTGAACAAACTTGGTAGCCTCTCCTCCAAGCATCTTACAGGCCCAATATCAGCAATCATGGACTTTTGCTTGGAGAAGAAGTCGTTTGTATATTTTAACATATTTGACCCCTGTGACCTTGAAAGTGGGTTGAGGTCATTCATTTGAATAAACTTGGTAGCCTTTCCTCCCAGCATGCTACAGACCCAATATCGGCACTCATAGACTTTTGCTTATTGAGATGAAGTCCTTTGTATATTTTAACATATTTGACCCCTGTGACCTTGAAAGTGGGCCAAGGTCATTCATTTGAACAAACTTTGTAGGGCTCCATGCCAGCATGCTATGGGCCAAGTATTAGCCCCCTAGGCCTTCTAGTATTTGAGAAGAAGTTATTTAAAGATTTTGACATATTTGACCCCTGTGACCTTGAAAGTTGTTCAAGGTCATTCATTTAAACAAACTTGATAGCCCTTCATCCCAGCATGCCACAGGCACAATATCAGCAATCTGAGCCTTTTGGTTATTGAGAAGAAGTTGTTTAAAGATTTTAACATATTTGACCCCTGTGACCTTTAAAGTGGGTCAAGGTCATTCATTTGAACAAACTTGGTAGTCCTTCATCCCAGCATGTCACAGGCCCAATATCTACACTCTGAGCCTTTTGGTTAATGAGAAGAAGTTGTTTAAAGATTTTAACATATTTGACCCCTGTGACCTTGAAAGTGGGTTGAGGTCATTCATTTGAATAAACTTGGTAGCCTTTCCTCCCAGCATGCTACAGACCCAATATCGGCACTCATAGACTTTTGCTTATTGAGATGAAGTCCTTTGTATATTTTAACATATTTGACCCCTGTGACCTTGAAAGTGGGCCAAGGTCATTCATTTGAACAAACTTTGTAGGGCTCCATGCCAGCATGCTATGGGCCAAGTATTAGCCCCCTAGGCCTTCTAGTATTTGAGAAGAAGTTATTTAAAGATTTTGACATATTTGACCCCTGTGACCTTGAAAGTTGTTCAAGGTCATTCATTTAAACAAACTTGATAGCCCTTCATCCCAGCATGCCACAGGCACAATATCAGCAATCTGAGCCTTTTGGTTATTGAGAAGAAGTTGTTTAAAGATTTTAACATATTTGACCCCTGTGACCTTTAAAGTGGGTCAAGGTCATTCATTTGAACAAACTTGGTTGTCCTTCATCCCAGCATGTCACAGGCCCAATATCTACACTCTGAGCCTTTTGGTTAATGAGAAGAAGTTGTTTAAAGATTTTAACATATTTGACCCCTGTGACCTTTAAAGTGGGTCAAGGTCATTCATTTGAACAAACTTGGTAGAGCTCCATGCCAGTATCCTCTGTGCCAAGTATTAGCCCCCTAGACCTTCTAGTATTTGAGAAGAAGTCGTTTGAATGAAAAGTTTACGGACGGCACACGGCGCACGGCGCACGGCGGATGACGACGGACGAAGCATGATGACTATAGGTCATCGGACCCTTCGGGTCAGATGACCTAAAAATGCCATTTCCGACCGTTAGTTTGCTGCCCTGCTGGAGTACTTTTAGATACTTCTTCCTAATTTTGGGCAATGTCAACTCCAGTCTATTTCACAAGCATAATTGCATATAATTCCAACAGGCTCAACAATATTTAATTAATTATGTTTACCATATTTCATTTCCATAACTAACTGCAGTCATCTTTTTGGACAGTGAAGGAAATATATAAGTATACATTTGAATGAAACTATGTCCATCGTAATACTGCACTTTATGTTCTATCACATCCAAAGGGGTTTGCAGAAGCAACTTAAATTTGAAAGAATTCATTCTGAATTTCAATTACAGAGAATAATTTGTATTACTATGTCCATTATAAAAGGATCTGATTTAAATCTGTAAAGATCAAATGCCAAAAATGTTCATTTACTGGATAAACTGTGTTATAATTCTTACTAATGTACTACTTTACACAGAGTTAGAAGACCTTACAGAGAGATGTACACTTAATGTCTGTAACATGTCTCACCTGATTCCTGGAGGTGATGTCCACTCTCTGCTGACCATTCAGATGAAGATGATATAAAGCCAGGACCAATTTAGAGGAATGTACATAGAAACTAAGCGCTACATCATTTGGCACATGAGGGTACAACATTTGCTGAAAAAAAAAAGAAAATAAAAAAAAAATTAAGTCCAGCACTTCTGCTTGTCATATTTCGAATAAGAAAAAATAAATAAATAAATAACTAGATAAGATAAAAAAAAAAAAACAAAAAACTTAAAACTCATTAGATTTTAACTTAAGTTAAGACGGAAGTAGTATTACGTTTTTTTATTCAAGACATATTGCCTGAAACATCTACATTCTCCTTCAACATTTAAGGAACCAAATGCTGGTTATGACATGTCATGGATTTTAACAAAGATTAACCCCTTTTGATGTAATCCTTAAAATGTTTGTCACTTACCATATTTACATTATTTACAAGCTCATCAAGAGATTTTCGTTTGGGAAATGCTAAGCAGGATCGGCCCTGAGACAAATTCTTCATCACCTCATCAAGGATCTGCAAAAATAAAGATGGTCGTAAGAAATTTTAGTATGACAGAATTTGCTTCTTGCCCTGTAAAAAATAAATTATATATAGATATTGTTTGTACCTATGAGAACAAAAAAAGTAGTCTACTAAAAAATGTCTGTTTAATTTCTAGATCATCACAAATAACCAGGATTGATGATAAAACATATGAAAACAGAAGCTTACCAGTATCACCTCCTTGGCTGTTTTATATGTGTGGTCCTTTTCCTGGCCCTCAACCCGAAGTCTCGCAGTGTACAGGAAATTACTGGCATCCTGGATCTGAAAAACAAGAATATTCACAGTAGCTGAGATATCATTATCATAGCCATAGCAACATTAAAGATGCTCTGCACTGACATAAACAATCCTGACGAACCAGCTTCCAACGTCACTGACTAAAAAAATGGCTGCTGTAATAAGTCTCACCTGTTGTAGTTTCCAGACCCTCTCCTGTCCAAACCCTGTTCGGAACTGACTGTGGTCTTTTCCATGCTTGTGCTTGAAGGTTATATCCTATGAACAAGAATTTATTCGTTATCGGTCTGTTGTTGATTAAAACATTTTGTATTTCCTTGATTTCATAGGCAATTCTTAAAATATTTGTATTTTTGTAGAGAGTAATATTTTTCAATTGATCATTTTATGTCTGTCACTGCCTTTTTTGGTTGATAAATGTCTTGAATTGATTCTTCTATCTTCAGGAAAGTGTTCGACAGCTCTTCTGTTGTTTTAAAACTGCTTATATACAAACAGCATATGGCTTGTAAGTGGTATGATAAAACTTATTTCAGAAAACACTAGCTATAAAAAGAGCCTTTTCATCAAAATATCATAGAAAAATCTACCATGTTGTATTTATCTCATTTAAAACTTCATTTAGACAAATAGATTGTTTTCTGTTGCTTAAAAACTTTAAAAATTTCTCATAGACAGTTGATTAAGTCTTTCTGATGAACTTATACAGGAATTTGTCAAGAAATAATCTATCTGGTGCCAGAAGATCTCCAGTATCATACACCTTTATTATCATATATGAATATTTCTTCATACATCTAGTGGGTTCTTCAGTACACAATTTCAAAAACATGCAAATAATTGCAATTTTACAGAGACACAGGAGATATTTAAATTGAGATTCTAGGTATCAGTTCATTTCATTTAAAACAAGATGAGAATTTGAGATGGATTTTTGAAGCCAACATTGAGAAGTGGTATTACATACTTACTGCGTCACATATACTGTCCCCTAGCAGTGTTATAACACATTTTACATGGTTGATACCTCCACTGAAATGCAAAAAGTAAAATTTAACCTGTAACTATCACCATACATTTACATCTATAGCAATGCTAGAAGGATGAAATAGCTGTATGATGAACTTTAACTCATTCTTTGGTTCTGGTGTATCTATCTCAAATTATTGAAAGATGCTACTCCTTTGTGTGTCTTGTACAATCTTATTAAAGGGTTATTCTTCAAAGTTTTTCAAGAGATGCTTTGAAAGAAAACTGTACAAAATCATCTACTTATTGTCTTATGGAAGTTGTTCACCTAAATTTACCATCCAAATAAACATATGATATTTAATTTGCAGAAATTCTTTATTGACCTAGCTAGATCGATTTTTCAAACGTCCAGGAAACCCTGATTGAGTCATAACAAGTTTGTGGTGTTATAAGCCCAACAGAATGAAATATTTAAATAAATTATAAAATCAACAGAAATTAAGCCTAATGAAATCATAAAATTGTAATCCAAGCAGAAATTCAAGTGAACAACAAACACAGGTGACTGTGTATTTACCTAATACTCTGCTAAATAATCTATAACCCAGAGATCTTTCAGTTCTGGTTTTCCTAGTGCTATATTCAAATGATTTAGCTATGTGTATTCCAAACATTTTAGTCTGTCCAAACTGACCACAAGAGAGATATTTTGACGCTAACTATAGTTTTAAGGTCGATAGAATGAGTTCTTAAAAGGTAGAGAACAGCCAGAAATTTCGCAACTTGGGCAGAATATCGCTTTAAAAGAGTCAATAATAGGCAATTAACATGGTTATTTCCACAGGAGATTAATTTCATCACTTCACTATTGTATATGTTGGGGCTATTTTTGAGACAAATTTATAGTGGCATATTTAATGTATATTTCTAAAATATATTAATAAGAGTGATTTCCCTTGATTGCCAATTGTTCTGATTTCTGACCCTGTGCCCTTGTCTCAGTGCCTCATGTGTGATTTAACTTAATTGTGAGAACAAATCATGGGATTTGTTTTGAGTATTATGTAGATGATATTTCAATGCTTGTGTTGTTTTCAATCTACAACTAGTTACTTTAGCATTGGTACAATCAACTCATATTAGCCGTAAACTCCAAAGCAGCTCAAGTCATATTGACCAATTATCATTTCTAACCCACAATCAATGTCTGACATGAAAGTTTTAACTGAAAATACATTGTCAGTTTCTGTTTAATCAACATGTGCTAAATTACACAGGTAATTAACCTGCATTAGTTTTCCGATTCAGAGCCAAATATGATCTCACAAGGTCTGATTTTTATAATAAATATACTGATATAAAATCGGATGTTATGTAATATTAATTACACAAAAATTGAATTTCTATATCTGTAATCAATAATGATGTACATGAACTTTATACTGTTACATAAATGTTAAAAAACTATAATATGAGTGGGTGAAATTTGCATGGCCATATCTATGATATATATTTAGGGTACATTTTCCTCACTCATAAATTTCCATGTTAAGCTATCAATAACATAACCACTGAACAATCAAATCACATTATTCAAAATAAACTGGTAGTTATATTATGAATTATAGTCATGAAATTATATATAAATCCAAAGATATCATTGTCAATCTATTTAAAGAATACAAATACTGATTCAGGCAATTAGACAAACATGTTTTTATCTCATTGCATTTGAAGTTTCTCAAATTTTATAATGGATTTGATTGAAGAAATACCCTATGTCATCAACATGCTGTCCAGTATAAACATTTGTGTACTTAATCTGCTGAAACAAAATTATTGAAAATTCAAAATGGTAATACATATACAATATTATACTACATAATCTTAGCCTATGGCTATACAGGCAAGAGAGAGATACAAAATTTGACCATTTTTCATATTCATGAAACACAGAACACAGAAGACTTTGTCAATACTTACAAACTTGAAATCCTATTATCAAGCATGCTACTACACAAATACCATGACCAAGGACTTAATACTTGTTAATGAAAGAATTTTAAAATCTCAACACCTTGGACTCAAAAGACTATGAAAATCAAGAATTTGGATAAATTTGGTAGCCCTTCATCCAGTTACGCTACAGATTCAATATCAGCACTCTGGACCTTTTGGTTATTTAGAAGTTGTTGAACGATTTCAACTCATTTAACCCTTGCCACCTTGAAGAAGGTCAAAGTCATTCATATGAACAAACTGGGTAGCCCTTCATTTCAGCATGCTACAGGTTCAATATTAGCATATTGGGCATATTGCTTAATGAGAATTTGTTGGAATGGAATGTTTACACATGACACATTATGATAGAAGATACATGATAGCCAAAGACCATCCTGACTCTTCCAGTCAGAAGACCTAAAACTACAGCCACTTCCTCCTTTATATACCAAGAACCTTGTAAAATACTATTATAACTTACTTTGGACTTGACATAAGGATCCTTTGGGAATGAACCAGGCTGTTATCTCCTGTAAGAAAGTAAAAGTATTTCATATTAGGTTAATAAGAACACTTGACAACATCAATACAAGTAAAAATGCATACAAAACAATTTCAAAACATGTTAACATTAACAGACAACAACATGTTAACATTAAAAGACAACTTTACAGCAGGTTAACATTAACAGACAACATCAAAACATGTTAACACTAACAGACAACTTAACAACATGTTAACATTACCAGACAACATCACAACATGTTAACACTAACAGACAACTTAACAACATGTTAACATTAACAGACAACAGCAGGTCAACATACAACTTAACAACATGTTAACATTAAAAGACAACAGCAGGTTAACAGACACCTTTACAGCATGTTAACATTAACAGACAACATCAGAACATGTTAACATTAACAGACAACATCACAACATGTTAACATTAACAGACAACATCACAACATGTTAACATTAACAGACAACAGCAGGTTAACAGACAACATCACAACATGTTAACATTAACAGACAACATCACAGCATGTTAACATTAACAGACAACTTTACAACATGTTAACATTAACAGACAACTTTACAGCATGTTAACATTAACAGACAACAGCAGGTTAACAGACAACTTTACAGCAGGTTAACATTAACAGACAACTTTACAGCAGGTTAATAAGTACATTTGACAACCTCAAAACAGGTGAATAAGCATACAAAACAATTTCACAACATGTTAACATTAACAGACAACTTAACAGCAGGTTAATAAGTACATTTGACAACCTCAAAACAGCATACAAAACAATTTCACAACATGTTAACATTAACAGACAACATCACAACATGTTAACATTAACAGACAACTTAACAACATGTTAACATTAACAGACAACATCACAACATGTTAACATTAACAGACAAATTTACAGCATGTTAACATTAACAGACAACATCACAACATGTTAACATTAACTGACAACTTAACAACATGTTAACATTAACAGACATCACAACATGTTAACATTAACAGCAAGTTAATAAGCACACTATACAACATCAAATTAAGTTGATGTTTACCAGACAACAATCCCCAAACAGGTTTATAAGTATGCCAAACCTCACAACTGGTAGCTAAGTATGTCAGTACCTCACACCTGATTAATACCGGTAAGTATACTATTATAATCACAATTTAAATTAATGGACACCAGTCAACACTCTCTCAACAGGTCAATAAGTACACCAGACAACACTCTCTCAACAGGTCAATAAGTACACCAAACAACAATCTCTCAACAGCTATAAGTCCACCAGACAACAATCTCTCAACAGGTCAATAAGTACACCAGACAACAATCTCTCAACAGGTCAATAAGTACACCAGACAACAATATCTCAACAGGTCAATAAGTACACCAGACAACAATCTCTCAACAGGTCAAAAAGTACACCAGACCACAATCTCTCAACAGGTCAATTAGTACACCAGACAACAATCTCTCAACAGGTCAATAAGTACAACAGACATCAATCAACAGGTCAATATGTACACCAGACAACAATCTCTCAACAGGTTAATAAGTACGCCAAACAACAATCTCTCAACAGATCAATAAGTACAACAGACATCAATCAACAGGTCAATAAGTAAACCAGACAACAACCTCACAACAGATCAATAAGTACACAAAACAACAATCTCTCAACAGGTCAATAAGTACACCAGACAACAATCTCTCAACAGGTCAATAAGTACACAAGACAACAATCTCTCAACATGTCAATAAGTACACCAAACAACAATCTCTCAACAGGTTAATAAGTACACCAAACAACAATCTCTCAAAAGGTCAATAAGTACACAATACAACAATCTCTCAACATGTCAATAAGTACACCAAACAACAATCTCTCAACAGGTCAAAAAGTACACTAAACAACACTCTCTCAACAGGTTAATAAGTACACCAGACAACAATCTCTCAACAGGTTAATAAGTACACCAAACAACAATCTCTCAAAAGGTCAATAAGTACACCAAACAACAATCTCTCAACAGGTTAATAAGTACACCAAACAACAATCTCTCAAAAGGTCAATAAGTACACCAAACAACAATCTCTCAAAAGGTCAATAAGTACACAACACAACAATCTCTCAAAAGGTCAATAAGTACACAATACAACAATCTCTCAACATGTCAATAAGTACACCAGACAACAATCTCTCAACAGGTCAAAAAGTACACTAAACAACACTCTCTCAACAGGTTAATAAGTACACTAGACAACACTCTCTCAACAGGTCAATAAGTCCACCAGACAAAAATCAACAGGTCAATAAGTCCACCAGACATCAATCAACAGGTCAATATGTACACCAGGTCAATAAGTACACCAGACATCAATCAACAGGTTAATAAGTCAATCAGATATCTTCACAATCTTCACGAACACATTTGTATAATAAAAACTTGATACAGGTCAATCAATAAATAAATGTAATTGTTACAACAGCTTGGACACATTTCAGGGTTCTTGCAATCACACATCATATGTATATAGTACTTTGTCCACTTATTCAATAAAACATATGTATGCAAATTCCTGTGTTAATCAACAGATGGCAATAATACTACCATGATTTTTTTTCTTAAGGTTGAACGAGTAAATCTAGGTATCATGAATGACTCAGTGGCTTAGCTTTTACATGATTAGAAATTTAATGTCATATATTCATTTCAGATGTATGAAATCAAAACAATATAAAGTTGATATAGTTGATTGTACTTAACAGTCTGAGGAGGGCTAGTTTGTGACGACACAAATCTCAATCCAGTGGTGCTGGAAACACCTAACCTGTCACTTTTGTTAAGGTTTTAGTGTAATATTTGCCTTCTCATTATGACCATATAAATCCATAACACTGTTCTGAAAGATGGCGTCATATTTATAGCTCACGACTGTCGCAAGAGGTCGTGAGTATTTCACTTAAAAGTTTTAATGAATTAGAAAGCTAGGATTGGTGGTAGTAACATGTACTTCCAGGGACTGTGACAAAAGGCTGAAACTATAACTGTGTTTTATTTAGCCTCAAAAGGAAATGAAAAACTGACAAATGTACCATGCAAGTTTAATGCATGTTCCATGAAGTTCTAAGACAATCAGATAAAATTACAGTGAATTAAATGTCTTTCACCACAGGGACTTGTAAATTTTCCCACCTCTGTGTTTAAATCATGGGTATAGGATCAAAAATTCCAATCTCATTGTCTGTATATCTTTCATAAATTATTTACAATAATGAAACAGAACACTGGGTTTGAGATTCAAGTGCAAATCTATACATGATCTACAGTTCTAAAAAGTGTCAATTAAAGTATCAATATCACAAACGCATTGGCTCCTAAGATATATAGCCTGTCTGTTTCCTGGTATACTGTCTGTGTTCTGGTATATAGATTGTCTGTTCTGTTATAGATTGTCTGTGTATATATAGACTGTCTGTTTCCTAGTATATAATTTGTCTTTCCCTGGTATATAGTCTGTGTGTTCCCTGGTATATAGTGTGTTACCCGATATATAGTCTATGTGTTCCCCAACATATAGCCTTTCTGTTTCCAGGTATGTAGTGTATCTGTTTCTTTGTATAAGGAGTGTCCTTTCTGGTGTACAGTCTGTTTGTTCCCAGGTATACAGTCTGTTTGTTCCTTTGTATATAGTGTGCCTGTTCCAAGGTATATAGTGTATTTGTTCTTAGATGTTTAGTCTGTCTTTCCTTGTCTATTCCTTCATAAATAGTCTGTTTGTTCCTTCATATACAGTCTGTTTGTTCCTTGGTATACAGTCTGTGTGTTACCTGGTATAAAGTCAATCTATATTTTGTTTATAGTGTGTCTAATTCAAGGTATATAGTCTGTCTTTCCCTGGTACATAGTTTGTGTTTTCAGGTATATATTCTATGTTTTCTGGTATATAGTCTGTGTTTTCCTTAGTATATAGTCTGTGTTTCCTGGTATATAGTCTGTGTTTTCTGGTATATAATCTGTGCTTTGTGGTATACACTCTGTATCTACTGATATACAGTTGGTGTTTCCTGGTATATAGTCCGTGTTTCCTGGTATATAGTCTGTGTGTTCCTTAGTATATCGTCTGTGTTTTCTGGTATATAGTCTCTGTTTCCTGGTATATAGTCTGTGTTTTCTGGTATACAGTCTCTGTTTCCTGGTATACAGTCTGTGTTTCCTAGGAATATAGTCTGTGTTTTCTGGTATATAGTCTGTGTTTTCTGGTATACAGTCGGTGTTTCCTGGTATATAGTCTGTGTTTCCTGGTATATAGTCTGTGTTGCCTGGTATATAGTCTGTGTGTTCCTTAGTATATAGTCTATGCCTTTCCTTGAATAGAGTGATGGTTGTTGGTTAAAAACATACTTTCAATGGTCTACTTTTGAAACCATGAAGAAAAACAAAATCTCAAGAAAGGAATTATCAGGAGAAAGTCATTCTGTAGGATTGTTCTCATTTATACAAAACATATCAGATTGTTTTACAACAGAAACATTTCTAACAAATAAATATGTGCACATAAACCATTGATGAAACAACATGAAAATAATGCCACCAATACACACACCAATGACAGATAAACCCACATAAAGCATACAATATAAAAAACCCAATAAACTGTACAGGGATTGGTAATCTTATTTATTTGTCAATTTCTAAAGTCTCACTCAATGAAAATGAAAAAAATGTTTTCAAGAATTACACTGAAAAAACTCATATTTAAGTTACATAGCTTGATCCTAAATCAAATATTGGCAATGAATTTAAATTTAAACTTTTTCGGCAATAACTTTGTGTAGAATCAGGATAAAGAAATTTTCTTGTTCTTTTTAAAATACAAGATAAATCTATTTGTAACATGTTTTTTATTTTACTAGAACTTTTTAATTTATTTTCCTCAGAACAGATATTTTATGTACAAAATGCTTTATAAGAGGAACAGATCCTGAATGTCAGTCTATATCTATAATTTATTATGCTAATACAATAAACAAATAATTTCACAAGGTACAATATGTAAAAAGGTTTTGGGAGCATATGTACTCATACCCTTAAGTGGCATGCAACCTGAATAGTATCAAGGATAAGAATATTTGTACAACTAAATGTGAGCGTGTACTTTTTTTTTATTAGAGGTGTTGATAGATAACAGAAATATCCTTGTTTTAATTCAAAGTATTTCCTTTTTAAAATAAGTAACCAGTGTCTGACCCTCTTGGAAAACATGTAAAATTTTGATTTCTTAGTAAACTGAATAAAAAAGAGAACAGAGCAAATCTAACAACCTTTTTTATTCTTAATAGAAATATTGAAGTTTTGTGTTTGTTTGGTTGTTTTGCTTGATCTATTTATTGTGAAAAAAACAGGGTCATTTAGAGGCATGGTCTCCTTTTAGTAGCTGGTGGATACCTCATTGAAAAACCTACAAGAGGTCCGTCGCATGTGATTACAGCAATTTGGTTAAGGTGTTTTGGCTAAGGACACAACCATGATGGTACAGACTGGTGTGTTTCTCTGCTAACACAATGGGAAGGGTGCAGTTTGTGTTTCTCATAAACTGAGAAAAGGACTAATATATTGATCTCGGATATCAGTGTTCAACTAACTAACTAGACCGGGTTTGGTAATTTGGAAGTTTGGAGATATAACAGTACATTCTACTTTGATATTGAGATTCTGGAATATAGCAAAGTACACGACAAATGAATTGTGAATATGAAAGAGGAATCAACTTGCATGGGGAGCATAAATACTGTATACATTTATCATGTGTAAAGTGTGAACATAGTCAGGTGGAGTCAGGTAACTGATGCAACTGAGGTAGAAAGGTCAAGGGAATATATTTTGCTGAAATTTGCCCTTTTTGTGTTAATCATGGCATCTCTCAATTGATTTCCTATTTTTCCATTACCCATTGATTGGGAATCTAGGGAAGATGTGAATGGAAATATGAAGGGTAGGGATTTAACAATGTGAAATAAAAACAAACTACCAATAAATGCCAGGCTAGCAAAGTACAGGCACAACAGGACAGGCAATATGCTAGAAATTAAATAAAAACTTATACCATCATCGTGTCGATTGAGAGTTACCTCCTCCTCATTCTCAAATGAAAAATCTGCATTAATTCATATAAAACTGAATTGTAATAATGCACTGATGGAAATAACAGAAATGATCCTGCTGTACATGATTACTATATATGACTGTACTAATAAAAGTAAATAACGAATGGTGTAACTTATCATTCAACACAATGGAAGTTACATATATATATATCGCTAGTTTCAAAAATTGAAATATATATAAATATAGTTTATGTTTTTGTGATTCAATTTCATGACCATAAATTGACTTTATAGATTCATGTATTAATGTGATGTTTAATGTTCATAACAGTAATTATCTTAGTACCATCAAGTAAAGTGTCACATATCAAAACTCTGTAACATAAAATCGATAATTACTATATATACTGTTATATACAAACATATGTGATCAAATGTTCAGGTACAGCCTTAAATAATACTTGTAAATGTATGCATACCCTGAAATCTCATTTTATCAGAAAAAATAAATGAAGTGTTTTCTTTTTGTGGGTTTTTTTCAGTAAAGGACTTTTTTCTTGTTTTTTTCTTCAAAGATATAAATCTTACCTGGACTTGCTTTAATCAAAAATCTTCGACAGCATTCCTGGACAAAAAAAAGAATTAAACATATTTGCTTAAATCTTAGAATTTTGGCATAAATCAATTGCTGGTAAGTGCTTTGTTTCCAAGACTTCATTATCAGTGAACTTTTTATATGTAATTTTTTCTGCTTTTAAATATACATAAAGCCATCAGCTGGTCATTTACATTCCACGTGATCCTCATCCACATAACTAATACAATAGTGAGTACACAACATAAAAATTTATATGTTTATGATCTCTAAAAAACAACAATATCATTCTCACTACAAGTGTCTCGTGAACTTCTTCCAGAACTTGATGCACCTGGTCTCTCAGCAGCCATTCCAGTTCTTTTCTCTGCAAAAAGCCGAGAGTAAAAAGTTTAGTTAAGTTTCACAAAACCACTGTCAATCTGACCATCGGATAAGTCCTTTGAACTCTCCTAACTGCGACTGTCAGTCTCGGTTTACTCTGCAAGTCCGTAAGATATGGAAGGGTATATAAATCACAAACAAATCAACATTTTAGTTATGAAAGTTTATTAAGTATACCAGATTTTGTTGAATGACCACTACCTTCACTGTCTGTGACAACAGATCTCACCCTGTAACCTACCCTAATGTTGGTGTACTGACGTCAGGACATAACTGGTACTGCTCATAACGATCAGTACCTGGTGGCAACCACTATCGGAGCCTGGGAGTGGAGAGGGTTTCCTCTCCTAATTGTTGGCCCGGTATTCGGCCAAGCAAGTCCCCATTTATCACTGTGCAGCCCTTTTTACACCCTAGTCCCCTGGTCTAATATGCAAACTGCATTCCTGCACTGCATATCCATTCAAATTAGCCAAATCTATGACATATGCACAGTGAGGTTAGAATGTCTTCTGGCAACTCACCAGGATCTAGTTGTTATGAAAGTAAAATGCCCCTGTAAACCCAGACAGCACTGATGACAGCAACTATGTGACACGAAGCAAACACTGAACATATTGCCCTACTGTACTGTTGATTACAAATAAAAGATGGTACCATTAAAGGGACCCAAAATGATAATAGTATAACACCTGATACAGATAAAACCAAAGATAGCCTAGCAACCGGTTTTCCTACAATACTGTATACAAGAATAGCTCTTTATCCATATATGTATCACTTAAAAGAATAACATCAGTTGCTATTTCTACTACTTTTAATTATGCAAATGATTAATTTGATTATTCTCAACAAATTTTATCATGTTTCAATACAAAATGCTAAAAGTTATTAAACTCTTACTATGAAGGGTTCAGACTATCTATCCATAATTTTGTTCCTAACTTGGTTAGGTACATATATAGATATTTTCTATATCAACCATGACCAAAACAAAAATAAAATCGTGGATAGACAGACAGAATTCTTCTGACAAGCAAGGACTAATCACTCTTTGGTCTTTGCCTCTTTCATGTTAAAATCCTCCAGATTAATACAGAGTAGTAAATCCAGTAATGCATGATAGTCCTTTACAGAATGTTATTTTTTGACGGATTTTTTTCACCATTCTTAAAATTTTGAATTAAATGGATGTACTGTTTAAAGATAATTCATCTCTTTTTTGTTTACATTTGCAACGAAAGAATATCTCAAAGGCAATTATCAGTTAAGCAAATTAAGACGACACGTCCTGTGAGAGACAATTATGTACACGTTGTTGAAATAACTTTCACTGATTGGCCTGTTGACTGTTCGTTGTAAGTTGTGTCATGATTTTAGAGACGATATACATTTTGTACCGATGTCCAAGGACACGCCCACATTTTTACATTAACAATAATTGCTGTGGTAAAACCACATTTCTGATTCAAGATTATTCACATTTATGCTGACGACTACCAACTTACCAACACTTCTACTTCTTCATCGCTGTCTTCCATCTCAAAATTTCATGTTTTCGTCTACACTTTTTTTTGTTATTTTCCGGTCAAAAGAGCTCCAAAATGTTAGTTATCTCCCGTGTGGCCAAGATGGCTGCGCCCACTGAAACGAAAACGACAGTTGTAAAAGCTAATGTAAACAGGAAGATTATCAAAGGTTTGTTTTGATTTATGTTCTTTGATATTTAAGTTGGATTCTATATACTTATGGGATGTTTTGATATACATCTCAACTGAATAGATGTGTACACCGTAGTTTTACACAATCACCGCATGTACTAGTAAAGTAGTGACAGTACTAGTGTACACAGGTACTTGAGGACTCGATTTCAAGACTTGGTCAACAAGATGCACATTTTGAACTGCCTGGTCCATGTTTGCACAGAAGCGTTTTTTCATTAATTTGTTTTATATTTCGTAAGATTTTAACAAAACATCGGCATATATACATGTACCTATGTATCATCATCATCATCATCATCATCATCATCATCATCGTCTACTTCTAGAAATATAAGTTTAAATAGTTCAGTTTCCATATGTAAATAAGTCATATAACAATCATATAACATGAAGACAAAGAAGAACAAAAGAAAAGACGACAAGAAAACCCAAAGCGTGACATAATCCCAACGCCCTGCTGTTTAAAAGAAAGACACACAATCATATATACATGTTAATATTACAACAGGTTTAATGGGTTATCTTTAATTCTTCCATATAAAATACAAAAGTATTGAAATAGAGAACTTCTGCTAGAGCAATAACTTGATGCTGTACAAAGTTTTGAGTAATGGGTAATTGCCTAAATCGGTTTAAGAGAACTGGTCTGAAAAAAATTAACTTTATAAATGGCCTGTTTCCATGGTAACAGAAAATGTAGTTAAATGGTTAACTTTCCCATAGCAAAAGATACTACAAGCTTAATAAGCGTTTAAAGAGTTGAGCAGTTATCTTGAATTGTTTCAGAGCATTGACCTAGAAAACTGAAATTTGTTATGAGGGTTATCTGTTTCTATGGTACCAGAAAATGTGTGAATAAAGTCTTTGATGACATGTCTAGACTATAAAAATTGATTAAAAAATTGTATAATCATACTGAATATATGAAAAATGGAATCAATTTACACGGATTTTAAAGAACTCCAAAGAGCTTTTAACCAAGAATAATAAGAATATAAGTTTTTTTCCACTATATCCCGCTCAAAACTTAAGAAATGCCTTCAAATTTTTCATCAAGCAGTATGATAAGCATGATGATTTCAGTTTCATCATAGTAAATTTTTCTTCTCTGGATAGCAATATTTCTGCATCCCCAAGTTAAGTTTAAATGTTGCAGTTGATTCAGTATTCAGGGGCTTGTTCCCATTATCACAATTTCTGGAAAGAAGTCATCAACTGATGGACAAACTCATAATACAGGGTTTCAGAAGATGCAGGTTGATGAAAATTATGGGAAAGTTTTATGGTCGTCATAGTGATCTCCTTGAAAAATATTCTATTTCTTTATGCATTATGAAACAATGTGTTTGATGCTCATTTGTTTGCCTATAGGTTCTGTTGTTGTATACCTTGTATTCATTTGAGAATGTGACATAACTTACTTGGACTGACCCAAGATTTACATGACAGGTTTTGTTGATGAAGCAAAGGATGCTTACTCATCTGGAAACCCAGGTCTTATTCCCCTTGCACTTTTTCAGGAGTCTATATGTAAATCTTCCTTTTGTTCATATTTTGCCCAAGTTTAACTAAATTTGAGTTTGTATTATGATTCTGTTTACATGTTTTAATTTCCTTTTTTGTTTCTGATTCTTGTATTGTCATTAAACATTGTGATTGGAAGATACAGATGGTTGAATTGGAATTTAACTATCGTATAGGTATATCAGCAAGTAAGCCTTGTATAATGTCCTGAAGTAGTTAGATCATCTGATTTAGTCACAGTGTACTCAAATTAATCATTGTTTAACTGCTACATTCATTAACAAAAAAATTAGAACTATCAAGTAAATACATTAATTTCTAATATTTTTGTCATGATTTCAGGAAATGTTTCAAGACGTGCTGCACATCAAATACCAGATGAAATCCTGAATAATGTCAAGCTACAAGAAGCTGTCAAGCAGGTACTTGATTGAGATCATTTATTGTTGTTATAGTTTTATTAGTTTTCTATCTGTAATCTCAATAGATTGAATTTTAATTAATAAAGAATTTATATTTTTGTTAAAACATTTCCGTGTGTTATTTATTTGTTACTATGTAAAATTTTATTTACATATTTTATTATGTTTTCTCAATATAACATTATTGGATGTTGTAGCTGCCGAATAACTACAATTTTGAGATATTCAAAACAGTGTGGAGAATAAGGACAACAAAAGCCAAGAGAGGTGATTATATAGTTTGTAAACATTATTTATAATAAAATACTCGCCAAAATACAGCTGATATGTTAAGAAACTGATCATGTATTCTCTAACATATGTTTATGGGTTTGAAATGTTTATGTATGTATTATATAAAAACAACAGCAGAGTTATAAACAGTATTGTTTAGTTTGTCACATTTTGATACATAATACAGAGTAAAGGTCAGTGGTCACAATGATGTTACATATCAAAACTAGCTTCATGTTGTAACAGCCTAGATAAACGAATATGATATTCTAGTGCATTTATTTATGCATTTCAATGATTAGAATATGTCAAAGTTTTATCACTGAAATCACCTATCCAGTATCTATGGTTCTTCTGTACTTCTCTCTATATCTACAGTGGCTCTCCAGTTCCCTGAGGGATTGTTACTGTTTGCTTGTACAATTGCTGACATCATTGAGGAGTAAGTAGATTTACTTATTTTGTGTATACTCAAACAATTTTGCATTTTGAGCCTTTTAGGCAAATTATCCCCCTTTATGTAACAAATTCATTTAAACTTTGCTAATTTTTAAATGAATTTCTTTTAAATATTTAAATGCATATACAATTGCAGTGTCTTATCCCATGCAGTTGCATATGGTACCCACTTCTCACAGCTCAAAGCTCCACCAGCTCATATACATGTACTACATCACACTGTACTCATAATCTGACATTTGTAGTGACATTTAGACTGAGTGTCTAATAATGTGTAATTGTGAAGAAATAAAACAATGTAAATATGTTGTACAGGTTTACAGAGGCAGACACCCTTATTATGGGTGATGTGACTTATGGAGCATGCTGTGTTGATGATTTCACTGCTAGGGCCTTGGGAGCAGATCTTATGATTCACTATGGACACAGTTGTCTAGGTAACCATTTGAATACTTTTTTAAAATTGTCAACAAATTTATGTCAATTTTAAGAAAACAAAGTTTATATGTATACAAGTACATTTGATTTAGATATCAAAGAAACTAGTTTTCAAATTTCTTTTTCCTCTGGTTGCATTGTCTCAGTAAGAAGGATAAGAAATATACATTAAATAGCTGATTTTACATGACTTTCTATTGTATATATGATTAATGATATGAGCTGAAAAATTTATCACTTAAACAAGCTTCTGGTAAGATGAGATGGAAGATTCTGTTCATTGCAAAACCTAGATACTTTTGTAAGTTTTTGTAAAAATGGCATTTAATAAAACAAAGATAAAAATTAATGTAATTTCAAGTGGTGCAGTAGAAACACACTCACTTTTACCTAGCTGTCTGGGGTTCGATTCCTGGTATGGACATGAAAAGGTATGGGGTCACCCGTCTGATCACCTGGGCTTTCTATAGGTACTTTAGCTTCCTCCAATAGTAAGATCCCTCCCACACTTCCATCCGGGCCAACAAGAGTGATTTATATAACCTGATAGCTTGTTTCGCAATTGTTGTGAAATACATAAGTTTATAACCAAATGTAATTTGGGGATTTTCTCACTCAATATTTTTTAATTTGGTGACATCACAATGCATTTGACGCAATGAAGTTATGACATCACAATTGTAACAATGGGACCTTCAGCCAATCACATCGCCTGAAGGTGTCATTACATGTTAAACAAAAAAGGAGTACTGAAAAATATGTTTTGTCACCACTAGAGCTCTCTAGCCAGACACTCTGCAGCTTGGCTGAAGGGGAAATTCTCACTTTTTCTAGCCAGTACTTTACAGTACTCTTACCTCCACAAGTTTTAGCCTTCAAAGACAACCATAACCCATAAATCCCACGTGAAATTTAAACAATTTTTACAGTACATATCTCAGACACAAAAAGGACGAAAGAAAAATGGACTGTCATTTGTCTGTTACTATAAATAGTTCATCATTTGTCTGTTACTATAAATAATTCATCATTTGTCTGTTTCAATAAATAGTTCCGATAGACAAGACTGAAGGAATACAGATGCTATACGTGTTTGTCGACATCAAGATTGACACAGCTCACTTCCTGGAAACAATACATCACAACTTTTCACCTGGTTCCCATCTGGCCTTTGTCAGCACCATTCAGTTTGTGGCAGCTTTACAGGTATAATATTATATATTCTCTTCTGTCTGTTGTCAGATCTATATCAAGAAACGTGTCCCACATCGGGTTCATAAAAAATGAGTTAGCTTTGTATTACTTTTGTTTCTTATGTTAACAAGAGGAGAAAATCCCCATAGATACCATAGAATTTTTAGCATGTCGTTACCATAGAATTTTTAACATGTCGTTAATTGCTTTACATTCAATGTTTCTCTCATTCTCTTGTATTCTTGTCAGAAATGTATGAACCATCCATTGCTATCACATATTCTTATGGTCCTTTTGTCAGAGCAATTAAACCATTATTTATGTATATTCATAATATCTTTCAAATTTATTCAAGTGTTGTGTCCATGTTTTACTTGACTTATAATTCTGCTGTTCTTGTTGCATGGTGAATAAAATTCTGATGGCATAATCACAGCATGTCAGTTGATATGAGTGACTGATTATATTTCTCTTCATTTATCATTTAGTCTGCAGGTAACGAGTTAAAAACTGACTTCCAAGTCACGATTCCACAGTCCAAACCTTTGTCTCCCGGGGAAATTCTGGGATGTACCTCTCCCAAACTACCACCAGATGTCACTGCTCTCATGTAAGCGTAGTTGCAGTAATCTATATATATACTTACATAACTACCATACAGTCCTCCATCTACTTGGAAAACAGACTTTAAGAAAATAAAATTATATTATATGATTCAAAGATTATAAAGGACATTTTTTTCTCCTTTTAATCAATGAAACCAAAACTTTTGAAAATTTAGTCTTTCTTGCTCAGACATCTTAAACTTTTGTTTAATCTGTAATATCCTTTGTTTTGTATCTCCTATTTACAGTTACCTAGGAGATGGAAGGTTCCATCTTGAAAGTGTCATGATCAGTAATCCTAGTGTTCCAGCCTACAGGTAGGGATTCCTGAATTTTATTTTTGTAATGATGTATCTGTATTCAAACAAAATGTCTGAATATTATCTCTCATACACATAGAAATGTCTCTCATATATGTACTATATTAAAAGGATGTTAGTGAGCTAGCAACAGAATTCTCTACAATGTCACTGGGAACCACTTTCAAAGTCCAAGGGTTCTGATATCAACACACTTTTTTCATCGCACATAATTTCATTGCCAAAACAGAAATTGGTTGGTGCCATCTCGTTTACACATGTATTAGAAAATTGAATTGCTGTCAACTGTTACAGAATCTTACATACTATGAGCCCACTGTTACAGAATCTTACGTTCTATGAGCCCGCTGTTACAGAATCTTACGTTCTATGAGCCTGCTGTTACAGAATCTTACATACTATGAGCCCACTGTTACAGAATCTAACGTTCTATGAGCCCGCTGTTACAGAATCTTACATACTATGAGCCGTCTGTTACAGAATCTTACATTCTATGAGCCCACTGTTACAGAATCTTACATTCTATGAGCCCACTGTTACAGAATCTTACATACTCTGAGCCCACTGTTACAGAATCTTACATTCTATGAGCCCACTGTTACAGAATCTTACATACTATGAGCCCACTGTTACAGAATCTTACATTCTATGAGCCCACTGTTACAGAATCTTACATACTCTGAGCCCACTGTTACAGAATCTTACATTCTATGAGCCCACTTTCACAGAATCTTACATTCTATGAGCCCACTGTTACAGAATCTTACATACCATGAGCCCACTGTTACAGAATCTTACATACCATGAGCCCACTGTTACAGTATCTTACATTCTATGAGCCCACTGTTACAGAATCTTACATACTATGAGCCCTTTAATCAGGGACCAAGGAATAGCATGGACCCATTCAAGTGGAAATTTACTGGTTTGGTTTGGAGTTTATTGTTTTTATGATGTTCAATAGACACAGTATCTGCCTGGCAAATGTCTGGCTCTCTTTCTTACCTGATACCATTAAAATTAATATGAATCTGTAATTTTTGCCATGATGTATTCCAAGATTGAATTAAAACCAAGCAAATTGTGTAAAGTATGGGAGACATGGGATAAATCACCTGCAAAATTACAAATATCAACAGTTACATAGTGTTTTTTTAAAATTGGACAAGAAGAAGTTTTCAGCTTTTCATCAAAGTAAGTGTTCAATGTTTTTCTAACGTTTTGTTTGTGATGTTCATGTCATAGTTTTTTCTGTCGATAGGTATGATCCCTACAGTAAGATATTCTCCCGAGAGTACTATGAAACAGAGAAAATGCATGCAGTGAGAAAGCAGGTGATATCTCGTGCAGCTCAGGGTGGAAAATTTGGTGTCATACTAGGCACACTGGGTCGTCAGGGATCACCAAAAATTTTACAGGTAAATTCTTCATTACTTTTTTTATCAACAAAACAGAAATATTCCTTTTTGTGATCAGGTTTTGTGAAAGTTTGGATCTGAAAATATTTATTCAGTGTTTCAAAATAAGATACAGGGGGAAAATTTTGGAACTGAATGAGTAGGTCGGAAAGTAATAGAAAGTGCTAGTTCAAAAGATGACTTTATTTCATTTTTTTAAAATGTTTTCCAGCCCCAATTGTTACTTGTTAAAGAAGTCAGAATGCTCAGAAAAAATCTGTGTGAAATATTCTTAATCTCACCTTAATGACACTTAGGTGAATTATGTATCAATATGATGAAACCAAAATTTGTATTCTCTTTTTCTTGATCAATAGATATTTAATGAGAATGTGTTTGATTCATTTTTGTTTGATTATTACGGTAAACGTATTCCTTTTTATGGGGGTTTTATTTTCATTAATTGTGTTGGTATTTTTAATCCAGGAATTCAGATGTAAACAAATTTTTTAAATTAGTCTAGATAAGTGAACTATATTTATCCCTGAAGTCAAGTATCTTCAAGTTTTGAGAACTCAAAAATGAATCCCCACAAAAATGAATCCCCACAAAAATGAATCCCCACAAAAATACATGATTTTACAGTTAGGTATCTTTTTTACAGTCAATTCTACAGAAGCTGAAGGATAAGGGGAAGGAGAATGTTTTAGTATTACTGTCAGAAATATTTCCACAGAAGCTGCAGCTTTTTAAAGGAGTTGATGCGTGAGTTTTTATTTCTTCTTGCATATTATGAACAATTTAAACAACAATATACTGAACATCCACTGTATAGCTATTTATCATATAATCTGCCTAATATCCAGTGTAGTCACAGATGAAATATTTTTATGTACATACCACTAGTTTAGTAACCTCAGTTGGAAATCTAATGTGATATCATGATACGAACACTAATATTTACCACTTGGATTTAAAATCACTGCCTCTGTTTGATTTTGCTGTTCAAATATTTACTGTAAAACCTATCAAAATGTAACCTTTTGAGATATGTTATAGAATCTCCCTTAGATTTGTTTATGGTTCATACAAAATTTTATAAAACTTTTTGTGAAGTTTACAAAATACAAAAAAAGAAAATAGACTTGATTTATTAAATCTTATGTGAAATGAAATCAAATTAGATTTTTTCTATGTATTTTGTGAAAGACGTCATGAATTTGAAATTATCATTTTTTCACTTGTTAACGATTCTTGAAGTAAAATATTTGTCTCATTTGGACTGGTTGTGAGAGAATGGGGAGGGGGGCTGTAAATTCTGAGCATAGTGGGTACTAAGTGAGACACATGATTGAAAAACCATAAAGTCTTTTCATGAAAGAGTTATTTCACTCGACTAGCTCTGTAATGGATGTTTCCCTATAACATGTTTATGCCTTATGGTAATAAGAACTTATCATTTAAATTGCAAATTACTGACCATGCCATGAAGTTTATTTAACACAATCACATAATATTACATACACTATCACATTAATACGGCAAAAGTATTATACCACAGACATTATCCTCTATTAGTCTCTAGACACAGCCCTTATATGACAATCATGAAAAAAATTCATTTCCATGAGATATATAAATTAAGATATATACATGTCCATGTGGTCGCTCTGAATGACTTTACAAAAAACTTACATGTGTAATACCAATTACAACAACGCCCCCTGTCGGCACTCATCTCACAAACATGTAGGAGATATTAATTTCAGTCTAATTCATACCCCTAACGAATGAAATGATATTTTATATGTCTTGGCATTCCAAAAGTGACCCTAACAAGAAAAATGTAGAGGAGAATTTGATCCGAAGTTAATAACACAGCTTAGAAGTTTATAGACAATAAATATTAGATGACTAGAGAAGTTTTGAAATTATGTCAGGAGGTATGGATACACTAGAGCAATCAATATATCTGTCATTTTCACTATTAGCACAAAATTTTATTGTAGAGGATTTAGTACCTCAGATTCCTGAAACCTCATAAATAGTGAAACACAAATGCATTAATATAGATAAGTTTTGTCAATAGTATCTTCTGAAATATTAAATTCTGTTTCACTTACAATTTAAATTTTGTTAAATTTTTTCTTTAAGAGTGCTTAAAGGACATTTCATTTTGATAATGCTTAGAATTATATAGTTGGCTTTTTAATTCCTTAGACTGGTATTCAGATGATCAGAATTCTGTTGGATGTGTTGATATCAGGATATATATACTTATGTTTGTTGTAGTTGGGTACAGGTGGCATGTCCTAGATTGTCCATTGATTGGGGACTAGCCTTTAAAGAGCCTCTACTTACACCTTATGAGGTAAGGTTATTTTTAAATCTGATTTAACTTTTTGTCCCCCATTTTGGTTAAATGTCGCTGTGTTGATTGGTCAGTGAGTTGTGTACAAATTGAAAAGCCTATATGTATTAAATTTTATTCTTCATTCTTCAATATTATTGTGAAGGCGTCCTTGACAACAAATTTGAGAAGTGAAATTTTTGTGTTATGTGATTTTTATACATCTGTACCTATTGTTTTTATTTCCATATTTGGTCATGTAGTTGTCAGTTGCTTTGGATTCCATAAAATGGCAGACAACTTATCCCATGGACTTCTATGCAAATGACAGTCTAGGACCATGGACTGTCAACAACGAACTGCATCGCCCTATCAGACAGAAACCCCGACCCACAAAACAAACTGTCTCCATGGTTACAGAAAATGTGTCAAGGGAAAATCAAGAAAAGACAAATATTGATTCTGTTACAAAAGAGGGGCAGATAACTTCAGGTTGTTTGTCTAAGCAAGAACAGATAACTCCTGCTACTGGTGTGTGTTCAGAACTAAGCAGTAATGTGGCTGTGAGAGAAAACAGTCACTGTAGTGATAATATTGGCTCATGTTGTAGACAAGGTCAAAGTTCACAATTGGACAGTAAAGTGTGTAGTGATCCAGGAACATAAGTATTGAACATTTTAAGTTTAATGAATTATTCAAAACATTTTTTGCTGTTATTTTTAATTTTTGATTGATACGACTAAAAGATTCCATGCCAAATATACAACTTTTATAGAACAGCAGAGTTCAGTTACTTTACAATCATATATATTTTCACAGTGCTCAATTTTCATGTTTTTTTCCAAAAAAGACATTTTTTTTGGGACACTTGAGTTTTTTTGTGTAACTCAAAAAATCGACTTTTGCTAATTTTAACAATTCATGGACATATAAATTCATTGATTAAGCACACTCACAAAATCAATGAAAATAAAGTCCTTGTGAAAATTTATGATTTTTACAATTTTAATTTTATTATATGGTGACCTCAGCTAATTGACTTTTATTAGACAGTTATCCGTTAATAAAGAGAGATGGCGTTAATTAATTGTATAATTGCTGGAATTTGTTAATTAATTGTATAATTGCCAGAATTTGTCACAGGTTTGTGTTGAGACTATCTACTGTTGTCTAAAGCAATCATAGTTACAACAATTTATTAGCCAAACATAACTTTGTACAGGGCATATCAGTAATGTGTGCTATGTCATGAAATTGCTGGGATATAACTTGCTTGCTTCAACTGTTTTCTTGTTTATACACTTTGATATATTTTCACAATAAGTTGATCAAACAAATGATTCATATCAGTGTATTTATGAAAAAACGATTAGTAAGCATCACAAAATGTACTGTGATAATCTTGGTATGTTGTTCGAATGTGGTATTTAAAAAAAAACAGTAAAGGACCATTTGAGCTTGTCAGCAATCAAGTATTGTTTAACAAATTTTCTGCATTTTATCATGTTAAAAGAAATTTAACTAAATGTAATTTTTTGTTTGAATTGTGGAAAGCGACAATTTAAACTGTTTAAATGATAAAGCCAGAAGTATGAATTTATTAACAAAAATTAGGACCTTCAGAAAAACATGTCTACTTCTGCATAAGATTTAATTTATCACTGCAGAGCTGAAACATCTTTTAATGTAAGATGATTTTGCTTATTCTTGCTATATGGTAATTATACTGTGTGCCCTGACACATTTCCCCCTTAAACCAACAAGTATCGGATAACAGCAATGTGTAAACTTTTAAAAGACTTCAAACAGTGTAAGTACAAGTCATATTTATTGCTCAATATCATAATATAAATTAATGCACATACTTCATTATCATCACATGTTGAAACAATTCAAAGAAAAGTATCTATATATTACAAAATTCCAGAGCATACTATAATTGAAATAAAATCTACAAAAAAAAAAAGAAATGAAAACTGATATTGAAACTCTCATAAGCTTTAGTCCTTTTCTTAATTTCTGTGAAACTACCGTAATTTTGCTTTAAACATTTTGAAAAAATTCAACCACAAAAAATAACAACATTTATCATATCTGTGAAACTTATGAATTGTTACATGATAGACTAACAATAGAAAATAAGATATTATGTTGCAATGTGAAGGCATGTAATAGCCGATTTTAACAAACGTATTTGATAACAAGACTTGAGGGATTTTACAACTTTATATAGTTAGTAATAGATATGTATCAACATGTTGTAAATAGCAAATTAAACTTCTTCATAGGATTCTTAGTGATGCGAGGGACCTATGTTAAAAGGACTAGTTGGTAAAAAAAAATTTACAACAAATGTGTAAATATCATGAGGGAAGAGCACAAATTGATCATTTTTTTCAATATTGGAGGAATTTTAAAGAACTATAAGTATGTGTGTATAGCTGCGAATGTACATATGTATGCTTTTTTGCACCGAAGGTTGTGCTAAAAATAGAATATATCTTATAGTTTAGCAGTTATTGTGAATAAGCAATGATTTCCATTATAAGATTTGTAAATCAACCTGGGAACTCTGATTAATTATCACAGTTATTTGATTTTAATATCAGGAGTCTGCCTTCAAAATTTTCAACAAACAGATCACTCTTCCTATGAAAAAATTATCAGAACAACTACATGTATTATAACTGACATCATTTTTGATCATATTCCAACAACACAAAATATAATATCAAGGGGTGATTGAACATAATAAATAATATTTAAAAGAAATATTTAAAATTGTAATAAATCATATATCACACGAAAAATGTACTAGGTTTTCTAAAAGGTTTCCCGCACATGACTATTGCAGAAAACATATATTTATTAAACCATTTTGAAGATTTACCTCCCTTGTTTTTCTACATGGCACCTTTTTTAAATACTTTGGCAATATTATTTTAATTGCAATACTGTTTTAAACTGCTTGACGTGAAACAGACTTCAATGACAGTTGAATGTCGGAACAAAACTTTTACAGATGAAATATATTTTCATTTATTTGCAGAAAATATCATTAAGACCAAGGGTTGTGAAACTTTATGATTTGTATATAATTTTCCAGATCAGTGCATATTAAGTATAAAACCGTTATTGAATATGTACAATATCAAAACTTGGTATCAACATGCTACGAAAGAAGAAAATTAAGGCAATAACAAAAATAAAGCAAAGAAACAGGAGATTAAACAATTTTTTCCAACAACCGTCATGATATGTTACAAAGGTACAAAACAAGACTATAACATGTTCAACTTCAAAATGTCTTGTGAATGCATAAAAAGTTTATTACAAACTGCGAAAGAAAAAATATATTAAAATAATGATTGTCAAAAAAAATCTATATTGAAAATGGTAAAGTAGATTTGTGATAAAGTGAAATTAGACAAAACAGAAAAAATAATATCAAATTATCAAAAATTAAGAATGTATTAAATTTGGATGCTCAGATTTTCTAAAATCTAGCTTATATTGTAGTGATGAATTTTGAAAAAAAAAATTTAGATGACAGAAAGTATTTTTAGAAAGAATTACGCTGACAACGGAAACCGTAGATAATGTTGACGTAAAACCTGAATCACAACGTCAACTATGTCGTCAAAAACCGTAGTCAACATGGAAAAAAAACTGAAAGTCATATGAGCTTCATATTTTGAAGAAAAGTACAACTATTGGTTACACAGCATCTCGAAATGCAAATGTCTATGATATTACTTTGGAACTTTGCTCTGCTTCCGATTAAGCACGAGTTTAATACGTCCTACACACACACTAGCATATTACATTAGATAAAACATTGTTTACATTAGAAAGCAATGAGTTAATCAACATTGTACAAAACAAAGAAGATATCACCTTTCAATTTTAGAGACAGTATTGAAAAAATTAATTTAATATCGCCGTACAACTGCTTCATCCGTACACGCCAAGACATTGTTGTAACATATGTAAATATACCATATAGTTTTAAAATTAAGCATTGATGCTTCCTGATAAAGAGATAATATAATGAAGGGAGTAGATAAATATTTACTTTTAATATCAGTTTTTAGAGATTGTTATACCTATGGTATCTGAGATTGAAAAAAAAAAAAAAAAACAGCACACACGAGAGTTAAAGATACCCCAGAGACAATAACAATAAAAAATCAACACATTCACTTCAAAATTCAAACTTTACAACACATCAAGAAGAGTCTTTCAACAGTTATAATGTGTGTTTCCAATAAAAAAAAAACTGCGCGTGTTAAAAACAAAAAAGCAAAAAATAAAAACCTTGGGGTCTGAAATGAAGTCTTCTGTAAAGGCAATTTAAAGTTTTAAATCATTTTAAAGCATTAATGAAACAAACAAAAAATCAAACAAAAGGATAGTAAAGAAGCAATAATTAGACTGGAAGCGCCATGTACTATTCCCTGACCGGTGACTTTAAAAAGTTTAAAAGTTCCGTCATTGATGGATGGTCGTTGAGTGGTGACACGGATTGTGGGTACTTCAGTGGTGTCGACGGAAGAAGGCGAGGAGGCTTCTGAAGTGTATTTCATTGCCGTGTCCCTCATCGCTGTCAACAATGGGTAAGAACCGTTGTCACAGTAGTTACCCATAAAATCATCGTAATCGAAAGCCCAAAACATTACTCCACCTAATCCAAGTTCACCAGCATAATTCACCTGAAGTTGTAAAATTTCAGATTTGACGAATGTGCAGATGGCGTAAACAATTTAAAAGAACATATTCATTGACAACATTTTTATTTGATGTGGTAATTCTCATAAGTCAATTCAGTACTTTTTTTAATGAGTCTCTAAATAAACTTTCTTTTGTTCATATGTTGCTCCAGTGTGATCGAATTTGTGTTTGAATTGAGACTATATTGATATGTCAGTATTTTTGTTGTTGTTGTTGTTTTCGGAACGATTATCTCACCCTCCACACCCGACGCAAACAAAAAACCCAGTTACTTCAAGGGTTCTGTTTTCCGAGGGTAAAATAAAACCGCGAAAAAGAAACGTTGAAATTGAAATAATTACAGAAAAAAATTTAAATGGCAAGAAAATACCCTAGCAGTTCAGTGCATCGTGGTCTTACCTTTTCTACAATACTTCTAGGGTCATCATATCCCACCCATTGATTGTCCAGAAAGGCATAACTGCTCTTTTGTTCATCATCCCATACCGTTGTGGCACCATTGTCGATCATATCTAAACAGATCTGTAAAGAAATTAAATTAAGAATCTCAGACTGCTTGTAACTTCAAAGTTATCTATGAAATAGTAATCCAACTGTTTGACTCAATATATTTTAGGAAGCTTGCAATTGCATGACGTGTATTCTTAACTAGTTTCGTTTGTCTCACAAATTCTAACTGAAATTTTGACTGCCGTATCGCATATCGAACAAAGTTAAGAGAATTGCAGTTGATGATATGTTATATACGTTTCTGACAATAATGGTGGCAATAACCTCAAATGGAATTGAAAATAAAAGATAAACAACCAAAAAAGATCAAATACTTGATCCGTTGGGAACCCTAAATCATATTTCTTTTCTATAGCATGTTTATAAATGATTGTTGTTGATGAAATCAAGTTTTACCTCGAAGTAAGCTAGATGACCTTTCAGTTCTCTTACTGAACCCTCGTCTCCCCCTCCCACGATTAGAGGTGCTCCTATATCGTGGACGGAGGAGTTCTTTAGTGTGAATGAAGCACCAGCTCCACGGATACCCATCACAAGCTTTTCTTTAGGAGCTCCTTTTTCTATGTAGTGATGAATTGTCCAGTTCTGAAAACAGACATTGGATGCCGTGTGATCTGTAGTATACTGCTGATACAAAATCAAATTTAATAACATCAGGACTAGTTTGATCATTTCCTGCAACAGACTTGTCTGTTCATACATTTTCCGCCATTTTCACTATCCTTGCTGTAAATTGGAAATTGCAGCACCCGTTTTTTTTAACTAATTTTAGCATTTGTCCTGAAAGATTCAACATGCAGATCGTAAAATAAAATAAATAAATAAAATAAAACTTGTCATGTGACGTTATAATTGATATTTTTATATTAATTAAAATATTTCATTAAATTTACTTCACGTTAGAGACATACCTGTGAGTTTTTAGGATTGAATTGAGAGTTTGACAGTCGTGAATAGAGAGGCGACCCAAACCCTGCTAGTCTGCTCCACGTACCAGCATAGTCATAGGTCATGACATTGAAAAAGTCCACATATCTAAAACAAAATCCATTACTATTCATTGAAGATATCACTTTACAAAATTCATATTTATCTCGTTGAACGTTACATGAATACAAATTGTATCAAAATTTGAGCTATGTCGACCTTTTTTTAGAACCTACTTGCATGCAATTACGTCTTACATCACAAACTAACATTCTAATGTAGTTATACTATTTCACATACTATCGTGTTTAGTTTTTTCGTCGTTATTGGTACTACAGCTTTTACACAGTATTTGTCGTCCTATGTGGAATATGCACCCACATACCAGTCAACAAACTACACATATACACCATTTAATACCTTTGTCTCTCCCGTAATATTGTAAATGGTAACTAAATATGTAAAAACAATATTTTGACGTCATGGTGAATTAAGCGGAGTTCTACAATTCTGTACATGTTAAAATGTTATCGATTATCATGAACAGGAAAAAAAGAATTGAGACATTTATATACAGCTGATAGGTCATTAACTTGAATTCCTTACTTTGATATTTCTGGCATGTCGTATGATGTATCAATATTATCCTTTCCAGCAGCTGTAGCTATAGTCAGCAACAGACGCGACTGTCCATTTTCCACCGATTCTTCATCGAATGTCTCCCTCATTATCTGAAGAAAGTTGCCATATATTGTTTAAAAATTATCGGATTTTTTTTGCTAAAAATATTGGGAAAAATAAGTATGAAAAAGTTTAATTGTATTGCTTTATGCATGGTACTGATTTCTATAAATGAACGCATCAAGTTCTAGGGAAAGGTCAGATAGCAATTGTCCACCATTCCTAGGTGATTGTTTTCATTGAAGAGGTGAAATATGTACAAGAAATAAGAGAACTGCATTGTAATTACAACTGAAAATGTCGATGAAACGGAAGAAAAATATGAACAAGAATACTTCCATAGAGGTAAGACATAAATAAGTGATACAGACCCACGAGGTCTGAACTATAACCCTAGCAAATGTAGGTCAAATTCAAGCATTACCACTATATCAATAGTATATTCGTGAATTTTAAGTTACTTTATTGCTTTTCTACCCCCTTATTCTTCGTCAACATGTTTTACTCAAATTCCCGTTTTTATCAATCACTGATATCTTCATGTATCAACCAATCCAACATATCTTTGTAACATGTAAGCAGGGTAAATTTTTGATGCAGGGTAGTAGCTTTCAAGAAATAGAAATTTCATAATACGAAATCGAAACATTTATCTACAACTTTGTGGAACAATGTGTTGGTCATACTATAACAGCAGGTTTAGGTCAGCAGTTGATATGCCTGTTGATAAAACACCGACGTGAGACAGTCCCTAGTGATTGGAAGAGTGACGAAAACGAAAAAGCTGTAACAAAACATCCAAACAACCACCGGCTGAATCTTAAAAAAAATGTTTTGCTGTTGCCTTCAAGTTCGAAATTCCTATAATAGATATCATCTGAAATTAGTATGCCATAAGTTTACCTTTAGTAACGTTGTAAAATCATCCCTTGAAGCACTTTGTGGGAATTCCCAGTCGATATCAAGGCCATCGAAATTTCTATCGCGAAGGAATATTTTGCAGTTTTGTGCGAAAATCCTCACAGAGTGGGGTGCGACAATTTTTGGAAACAGGCCTGATAACGTTTCTCCACCAACTGACAATAGTGTTTTCAAGTTTGGATTTTGTGATTTTAACCCAGTGAAGTCAAAATAATTTCCTGCTTTGTTTTCACCCAGTAATCCGTTGTCATCAGCTGGATCTGTTCTAATAAGTTTCTTCGCATGAAGATCTATTGTTGCAAATGCATAAATGATATGTGTGCACAAATGTGGGTCAATGTTATCTACATTGAAATTTCCAAGATGGTTTGACCAGTTTGTGTGGTAGCAAACTCTGCGAAACTCGTTCCCTACAAGTAAAAAAACATAATGATAATTGTTATAATTATTCTACAATCCAAAAACACTGTAAATATTGTAGTTATGTAACTAAGTTTTGAACTAACAATTCTGTTGGATATCGAGTATCAACTTGGCATATACTGTACTTGTAATCAGTATTAGACAGAATTGATGAAACTTTTATGCAGTATCTGATTCCAGAATACCAGTAACTAAATTGGAATTGTTACGTTAAACATGACAGTCATTAATGCCTCTTTTAAAAACAAGATATATAGACTTATGTGTAGTGATTTAAAATTCATAATTGCTATATGTTTCATATGATTCCAAATTTTGCACTGCATCTCGTTCTTGAAACTACGTTATGGTACATATTGAACGATAAGTCACAATCGTGACTTGTAAATGCACTAAAGCAACTGACCGTATTGTACCATCATTATGCCTATCAATACAAGTTAGAGGAAGCCGATATGATAAAAAATATTTTATCATTTCCCCCTTTTTTCGAAGAGTGTATACAATCGCCAAAAGTAACTACACTGAAAATGTGTTTACGTATTGACGTTTATGCTACCCTTAACAATCATCGATTGACAGTTTTGTATAAAAGAAGCTGGATACACTGCCGATAGATTTTCCATTCGCTAGATATTTCCTTTGTTCATATTTAGGTCTCGTTTAATTTTTGAGTTTTGATTTTGTTGACATCTGACATGAAAATTCGTACTCTTACACTTTTTTGGACGTCCAAAGGTATTGATCAGTTATCTCAGGTGTTAGTGGTTCAAATGTGATAACATATAGTGCCATGAGTACCTAAGGTATGCGACGCAGTCTCTACAGCAGTCTTTACTCTGTTGCGCAAATGCGACAATCGAATCACCCTGTCTTGTCGTGCGATCGTTTCACGCGGACGATCGGAAACTAACCCAGTAGCATGGAAAAGTATATATAGACGGTTAAATGTACACGGGGCAACGCCAAACTGCCGCTATTTTGCTATGACCATTCATCAACATCGCAATTGCTCTACTCCTCTGAATTCGCGTTAAGCCTGGAATCTCGGTAAATGGCGAAATCACAAATAATATGAGTATCAGCTGAAATTATTCGTTTGAAAAAATCTTTGACGTCGCGTGATTTGGACTGAAGAAGCTCACAAAGTCAGACAATGACAGCGTCACGCTTGGCTGATTTTAGGGAAGATTCTTGATGTAATACCCGGCCAAATATTCCATTATTTCCTTACAGCTAAAGTGTACTGCAGGGGGACTTTGTGCGTTTGTATTTTGTTAATTATATTGACATAGATAGGATGCATTATTCTGTTATTTTTTTTTATAGATTTTCAATTTCTTCCATTCACAAATTTATTCGTAAGCGTCTCCTCTTTACTGCAAGGTTCTACTTCATGATGAAACAAAGAGCACCTATATTAATGAGTTATTATTTATTAACTTGTGTAAGTTGAGTATAGACATTGATTTATATGCATAATAACCTAATTGTCAATTCTATCTCTTGAAATGTTGGAAACCCAAAGGCCGTAATAGCAGACGTTAAACCTGTTAAATAAATGGATATATACTTAATATATCGGAGTGTTGTAATCACTGATCTTTACAAAAATGGAGTTTTGTTTCTAAAATGAAAAAAATCGACAGCTGATGTGTATTGCAATATCGCAAGTGCTTCATGCTTTTTTGACGTCATATCACAGGAAGAATGCAGGTGTATAGTCATTCGAGGGCTCGCTGTGTAGTTTGAATAGGACATACATTATATTGTAAATGTGTCATCTCATGGAAACGTCTAAAGGGTTTTCTGACTTCGGCAATGATAGTAAATGGAGCCATGTTTACAAAACGTTAATTTCAACTGCTTCTATATCAATACAGACGAACGATGGACACGCATAAGATTTTGGATATTTAGTGTAAATGTATTGACATTCGAGTGAAATATATCGTTCTTTACGAACATATATATGAAATACAAACTGGACCCGCGAATAGACATTTACGTCCACTGTGCACACGACGTCATCATTTCAAGATGTTGGAGAAAAAATTGCTTTTTTCAACTCGCAAAAAGCGTAAGAAATATTTACCAAATCAAAATTTACTAAGAACAAAAGTCTTTCAACATTTTCTCTCCAAATTTATGAGATATAATCAGTAGATCAATACCTCCACAAACAAGGAAGATATGACGGTTTCCCAAAACCAATGTTACAATGCGTAGAAATAAGTAGTTTGGGATTAAGAGGTTAAAGAATATATAAGCTGGTAATTTACGAATTCAGCTGAAGTACCTCAGTTGACGATAGTAAATTTGAAAACACTTGTAATCGCACTGAATATGCAACTAGTCATAAATAAATGTAAAAAAAAATGTTATGTATTTTTCATGTGTAATTTTTCACGAAGTATCAAGCATTTGTAAATTTGATAGTCATATGTACAAAATAGCAACAGGTATAAATTATTTATTGAAATAAAACTTCATCCAACATGACGTGGTGAGAGATTTTGGTTAGTAACTGTCATTATATGAAAATATAAAGATCTTATAGGGGGCAAGTCGAGTCCGATAGCCCAAATAAATATAACGACCCTCTATATTTTCAAAGAACAACATAAACTAAACACTAAGATTTAACCAAGGTAAAAAATATCGATTGTACTTCTTTCTGTCACAACTACCAAGCCTATATTTATAGAGTTAAATCTACCAGCCCAATAATGGCATCGGCGGCCATATTGACATCTTTTTTGTAAGGTCTGGATTTTCCGACTGTAGTAACATTGATGACCATCATATCAACTATTCAATAGGATGCTTAGAGTATATTCTGTGATTATTACAAAATATCAAGCCAAATAATACAAGTAAAGGTACCGGCAAGTGTTGACAGAAATGTATGGTGTGACTTTACATTCCATGGTGAATTGAAAGCCAAAGCTGACAAACCATTACATATCGATTAGTGTTTGGGGTTCGCGTCATGTCTATCTCTACTTATTAGTGCTTGGAATCAGCATTGTGATAATATAAACTCAATAAAGACAAAGATATAGATTTCCACATAATAATTCTAAAATTATATATGAACCTATATCATGATCTAATTTTCTATGATATTTTTGAGCATATTTAAACGCAATAATTATCCAATTAAGACAATATGATATGATTAAATATTGTTTTAGTTTTCATTTATCATTTTTAGCATTAAACAGGTTATTTTCACACCAGTGCTTAAATGACTAAAATCATTCAAACAATATAACACAACGTTCATAACGTTCATAAATGTATGCCTGCCACTTAATCCGAAGAATTCAGTGTTTCTCTTGTGTAGGATTAAAATAATCAAGGACAGAACCATTTATATACCAGTGACAAACTTTTAATGGATAAACCTGGATATCAATATGTTACATAATGTGAACGAAAAATAATGATCAACTCTTTATCGTATTTCGTTTTTTCAGTATCGTCCATTTAATGCCGAATGAAAGCATTCGTGCTTGAATTACATTTGATAAACTGAAATTAAAGCATATGACAACAAGACAACAACAAAAACAACAACAGCAACCTGTCATTGTTCTTCAGGATTTGAAATGTACATGGATATACATGTATATATATAGCATATATACGTAAGTCTATGTGGGTTATGAACTATCAGATAAACATTAAAAAGATAACA